GTCTCTGCCCGGGTCTAATACAGCATTGAAATCCCTCCCAACAATCAATTGATTTATATCTATTTGGGCATTTAAAGTCAAGAGCTTTGCAAAAAAGGGACCTGAGTAAGAATTAGGAGCATAGACTTTAACAATGCAGTAATATGTTAAAACAGTTTAACATAATACTGCAATATAATATAAAGGCCCTCTGGGTCAACATCACAACTGTGTATCACATATTGAAGGTCTGAATGCAACAGGATTGCCAGCCCTCCTGCTTTGGAATTATATTTAGCTACTTTACAAGATTAAATCCAAGGAGCTTTACACGTATCAGTAGCCTGTGACCAATCGGTTTCCTACAGGAGGCTAATAGGCGGCTGTTGTTTGGCTAAAAACGTTGGAATCTTATTTTTCTTGAATGGTGTGCTTGCCCCTTTTACATTCTAGGATAAGAATTAGATGGTAGAAGTAGTGGTAGGTCTCCTCTGCATGACTTGCGAAGAGTAATCCATGAAGATTATAATTCTACTGTTTTGGTAGGTGAGTCAGAGTAGTTATTTGTAAGCTGTCAGTATGCAAACTTTATCATTGAAGTTTAGGAATTTTGCTATTATTGGTTGTGATTTGGCAGCGTAACTGGATCTGTCAGGGCCCAATCTATGTAACCGTTCAATAACGATGGAAGAGGCTGCAGAGGCAGCAATCAGAGAGATATCTGTAGCCAGTTTTGAATGGTTGAGGGAATGTCAGCGATTTCAAAGACTCAGGGAAACCCACAAAGCTTAAATAGTTTTTCAACTCTGATTTTCGAGATATCCTGTAAAGACGCTAGAGTAGTGTTTTCTTGTCCAGTTGTAGATTGCAATTGCTGTAATTTGTCTTTGGTTGCACTCTGTCTAGTTTCCAGTAGTGTACTTTGCATAGAATGTGATTGGAATAAGTGGACTGCATTATCAATAGATTTTTTGGTATCCTTAAACTGGGAGTCAAATATCGACTTATGGAGATTAGGCAGCTCCGGACTGTTTCTGAAACTTGTTGTGATATAAGAGTAGATATTGTGAGGGGTTGAGAAAGATTATCCTCCACCACAAAGACAGTAGGGGTGAGGGCTGGGTGGATGGTGGCATGGATTCTGTAAGATATTGTTTCTTAGTTGGTCTTTGAGGTTTGCTGTTATGTCTTTTAGAGGTGATTTGTTGATGAAGTTATCCATAATGGGGAAGATGAGAAGATTAGGGAGAATAGAGTAGAAGAAGTTCTGGCCTGCTTTTGAGTATCACATATGTGACGGAACGCTGGCACTCCGACTGAGTACCTCCGCCAATCGATGCTCCTAGTGCTCGCTGAGGACTCCAAGCACTCCAACCAACACCATCAGCACTGCAGACCCCACTTCCAGCGATGTAACTGCGCGGGGGCTCTGCTGTTTCCACCCACCCTGGACCCAAGGCCAGGATCCAGCTTCCAGTGGGTGAACCTCTCTTTCCCCAGAGAGCAGGAACAGGAACAAATCAAGCTATTGCAAGAGCTTCCTCTGGGGAGTAAGTGATTATAGCAATCCCCAGAGTGTAGGTATCCCTTCCCCCAAACATGAGCCAAGGCTTAATGCTGGAACAAGACTGATTTACTGGCACACAGAACTCACAATTTATGCAACACAAAACTCCTCCTCTGGGCCAGGCTAGATAATTGAGTTTCTACAATACACAAAGCTCAATTATCTGCTGGCCAGAAATAATACAGTTTCATAAAACACACAGGGACCCCAAAACATGCAATAACCCCATAAAGTATATCCTTGGAACCGGGGGATCTGGGTGAACCACATATCCAAAATTCACCCAGATCCGTTCAGTACTTTGGAAAATACAGTTTAATGCAGATTCTGCAGAACATATACAGGCTAAATGAAAAACAATCACTTTATAATGTGTCCCCTGCTGTATAGTCCAAAACCACTGCACGATGTCTCTGTGCACCAAATACTGGCGAGATGGCACCGTGTTGAAAAGTCCAAACAGTGTCTGTGAGTTAAAATGGCCGCCATCCATTGTTCTCACCATGTGCTTCTGATACAGGAAATGGTGGCCACCCAGTAACTCCACAGTATGTCCCCAGATGGTTCTTAAAGGGCCAGCAGCAGCACAACACAAATCCATTATGCCCAAATCATGTCTTTAAAGGGCAATACATCCCAGGGGCCATAGTCACAGGGCAAGAGGCGGGCAAGCAGTCCTCTCCAGGCACAAGTGGCGAAGGGCACTTCGTCACAACATATACAGGAAGTGTGAAAGAGAGAAGGCGAGACGGAAGGTCATTGATGCAGAGGTGATTGAGTTATGTGAGCTGAGTCAAGATGTGTGAGAAGTGTATGTAACGGCACCCCCAGGCATAAAAGGGGTTAAAAGCCGTTTAGGAGATATTCCCCTTCCTGATATACAGGCAGCTACCAAAGCCACCAATCCACCGAACAGGAAACCATATGAATGCCGTAAACAGCCGAATAGGAAAAACCTTACGAATAGGTTTACACTCCTAGCAGTCGAACTGGAACAGCATTCAATAAATCCCCCCCAAGAATGAAACAAGGCTCTGTTTTGAGGGTCAAGCAGGAACAGACAGAGCTGTGGGTTTATTGTTCTTATATAAACATTCTTACACATTAGTACCACCCACAGGGTTTTGGAAAACAACCAATGAAAACGTACAATACACTCAGACACTCCCACACAAAATCCTGCCTGTGATACAATTGCCTTACACAATGGGTAATGTAATTATTACAGGCAGAGAAATACAGTTTTTCCACATTATTCATAATTTTTAAAGTATGCATCAAATTCACATTTTCAGAATCAGCATACTCCAAATACAAACATACGTCAAAATCATACAAATTGGTCCAGTGGTTCAAAAGATAGATCGTAGTCCTTTGTGACCAAATGAAGCATGGATTTTCTGCCCAAAACCAGTTCCACAGAGTCTTCTATCCTGGAGATAATTGGGAAGTAATCCAATTATCTCCAAGGACAGAGGCAAAACTCCATTGAACACATGGCAGCAAAAGACAATAAAATACATAAAAATATATAACTGTGCAGCCATTGCATAAAACAGGTACATTCAACATATCCCCAGATAGCTCAGATCTGAGCGCACATTATTACTGAATGGCGCTCAGATCACACACATACAGTTCAATTGCCATGGAGCCAAAGTCTTTCCCATAGTCTTTCATTATACGAATGGGCTCCATAGCATAGCTATCTGGGGTATCACCGCTCAAACAGGGCAAGCACCGAATGACCCAGCTTTCGTGTCTTTGCAGAGGAAAATCAAGCGTTTCAACATGGGGCCATAGTCTAAAGGCAGCAAGCGGGCACAGTGGCGAGATTGGTCTCGTCACAGTGTAGTAATAATCTTAATCAGAACCAATATAATTTAAAATTTACATCTACATGGAACCAAAATTAAATTAATTTTCTTGATTTAACCTTATTTTGTGAAAACTATCAAATAAGAACAAAATGTTACTTTAAACCTAGCGACGGCAATGGGTACGTACACCACCAAAGCTGTCACCACCGTCCTTGGTTTAGTAGAATTGCGAAGGGGCAATTTGCTCGTGTGAGATGTAATTGCTCACACATTCATAATTTTAGATCTCAATCAACTCACAAAAAGAATAAATAATTAGAGAGGGGCTTTAAAAAGAACTTGTTGAAAAGGGAAATTCGATTAACGATGCAAACAGATAGGAGTAATTATTTAATGGACAAACCGTGTGTGGAATCATCCAGTGACCATTTCAGTTTTGATTTCAATACAGTTCAGACCATTTAAAAATAAAGAGGGGTTTACAGAAACATTGGTCCATTCTCTTACAAGACCCTATACTTAACACCCTCCTACCGGAACATCTTAAACTTATTTTCCGGAAAAATCTAAATTTCAAAAATGTATTGGCACCTAGTTATGCCATTAGGGATCCAAAGGATACTTTAACCAAGAATGGCCATTTTGGGTGTTGTAATTCCTGTAAGGCATGTCATACAGTACATATGGAGAGAACAGACTGATTTACTAGTTCTGTCATGTGTGAATCTTTCAACATTAGATGAGAAGTGGGATGCCGCACTGACTTTGTTGTGTATTTACTACAATGTCCGTGCGGCAAACAATATGTCAGCCGAACCAAAAGAATACTTAAAATAAGACTGATGGTACATATTAATAATATCAAAAAAGGTCTTGTAACACACTCTGTTCCGATTCATTGTAAGAACTGTCCCTTTTTTTTCTTTTGACAATTTTAAATGTATTAGGATTGAAAAAGTCTTGCCCCATTGGATGGGGGCGATCAAGTCCAGAAATTATCACAACGGGAGACATACTGGATTACTGGCAGACTTTGGAACCAAAAGGGTTAAATGTGGATGTGGATCTGGTCTGTTTCCTTTGAAGGTTTACATTGTTAGGCTGGATATGTGTGGCATTACCATATACTATAGATTATTATATACATTGGTTATTTATGTACAGTTTTTTCACTGTTATTTTTGTATAAATGTATTTTTTATAATGTTTTTAAATTATAAGGCACCTGTCACTTGATAAATCAACTTATCATGAGTGATATTTCAATTCATAGTAAATAACATTTTCACTTATTAACTAATATTTTTTGATCAACGGAAGGAAATTCAAATTACTAAGGATTATAGAGAATCTATATGCACCTTTTCATAAGTTATGTATATTTTAATTGTCTTTTTTCTTTAGTATTGTTCTCTCTATAAGAGAATCTCCAGTGTCTCTTCATACTTCTATTAGGTATTATAGACGCAAGCCTGATATAGAACGCACAGAAAACTACAGTTGGACCGCATACCACTTCTGGTTATATGGAACACACGGAAGTATAATGTTGGAACGCATAACATTTTCGGTTACACGAATAAATGCAGATAACAGCTGTGATGAATGGAAGGAAGACGCCATTAACCTGAACAGGTGATTCCAACTCACACAGGTCCAATTAGAAGAAAGAAGACACCCACCGGATCACAGATGGACTCAGGGATTAGCCCTATTCAAGAGACTTGCGGGAGGGGGTTGTTAGGCTGCTTTTTTGCTGCATTTACGATTGTGCTTACTATTTTTACTGATTGGTCCCTTAGGAAGTCGTATATTTGTTTGGGATGAAACGCGTAGGACCGACTATATATATATATATATATATATATATATATATATATATATATATAGAACTGGACCTTAGCCCCCCATCATCATTGGGGGAGGCACCCTATACACGCTTGAAAATACAACCATCTTCTGAGTGCATTCTATAACAGCGCAATTATTGTGTTTTATGTGTATTTACACTTTATTTTGTATATCTCTTTATCCTTAGATATCAGCCGGTTCCCTCTTTTTTTTTCTGTGTATATTTCTTTTGAGAAGTGTAGTGTAGGAGGTGTGGCACAGGAACTGTGAGAGCGTGTCTGAAGATGTGTGGAGAACAGAGAGGAATACGAAGAGAGGCAGATTGAGATAATGCAGAGTTAGTTTGAATAACCATCAGGAGTGAAGTGTCAAAATTTGTGTTCCCACCCGAAGAAGTGTTTTACAGGGAGGGAGAGATCGATGAGATTAATCTGCTCTGCAATGGAGGAAGAACAAATCCTCGTTCTGTTCAAGGTAGAGTTGTGTTACTCATGGTTATAACTAGGAGGGACTGAACTGCGATAAAACAGTGGTATCAAGTGGTAAAACGAATAGTAGGCTTCAGGAAGATATAGTTTCCATGGTCTATTGAGCAACAGTGAAGGATAGGCTGGAGCGTGCCTTGTTAGTTATTCTTATTCCCCAGGGGGAGTAAGGAAAAAAATGGAAAATATAAAAACAAAAGAAAAAAAAGGGAAGAACTCATATACATATAGTCTAGCTATTTGTGATCCCTAGTGTAGCAGACATGGATGAATTCCTGTCAGAGAGTAGGGTAAGATTTGATTCCTTAGAGTAGTTCGGGCATCACCTATGTGCACACCAGGTTTGGCAGGATTCGTGCAATGGCCCAGAACCCAAAATAAAACCCTCAGTGTGGTATGAAGAGATGACGTCCCAGGTATTTGGTATGGGTTACCCCAAGTGATACACTGGACCCTTTAGAGAAGCAGGACCTGTAAGGCCTAATGTGTCATGGAGTCCTCGTATGAGGCAGTAAGAGGCATGTATTTCAGTGCCTGGTGTGGTTACCACTGCGGTGCAGTGAGAGTTAATATCTGGAGCCCACTGACAGAGAGAAGCTGATGTGAAGCTACAATTGAAGGGAGGCCTGCAGTGGGTTGGTAGACCGTGGAGACTGTGTGCCACACTGCTGCTTGCAGTCAATTTTGTGACATCCATTGTGGTCACCACCTCGCCTCTGCTTTGGAGTTCCCTGCTCACAGGGAGGAAGCAATATTGCTTAATTTGAGCCAGTTCAATAGGTGGAGGGGAAACGCCAGTACTAGGGAAGAGTGACCTACATTACAGGCCTTGACATCCATTACAGGCCTTGACATCCATGCTTAGATGGTAATGGGACATTGTCTAGATCTTAAACCAGACCCCTTGTTCCCTTTACAAATACATTGCATGATTTATTATGTCTATAATGTTTTCTCCATTTTATTTTTCATTAAAAAAATCTGTAATAATAGATTACAGGAATAAATTGTGACAAACACGACTATATCTCTGCATAAATACACGTATGTTACATAATTCAAAAGTGTAATATTCCAGAATGTATTCTACATAAGTTCAATGGCTATTATGGACTTAACAAGGTACAAAGTATATTAACTTTTAACTTTTTTCAATAAACAGAGCAAGTATGGAAACTCAGCATTTTAAAATTATATTTAACATAGAACATATAAACATTGTCCACATGATTGTTCAGGGTGTTTGTTCAATTTGAAACCACAATTAGCCAACCATCAAGAAATGAAATATGTAAATATTATCATATTGGGTTATCCTAGACTCCCAACATGTCAGCCCAACTCTTGGAGCAGGAACTAAATAGAGTTCCTATTATATATTTACTGCCATTTTTTTAAATCTTCCTCCAAACAAATCTTATATATTAAACATTGTATAGGCTTTTGTGTAGATCAAATATTGACTTAGAAGTTGACCCGTAATTACATTTCCCTAAACACCTTTATGCCCCAGTCTGATACTGCATTCCTTGAAATGTTTGTTCCCTACAATTTCTAAAGAATAACTTGTCCCTAAATACTTGGCAGGCAACAGAAGAAAAAAAAATGCAGAACACCTCTTTACAAAAGTAGAAATTCAAACAGTTCATCAAATGTTCATGATTTATGTATAGAGTTATAGGATCAAAGACGTTTTATATGCCTCTCATGTCACTTTTACTGTGATAAGGTTGGGGACAAGTGATTTGGATTATACCTAAATAGGTATGGTTCTTCCTGAGAGATACAGGCTTTCGTTGTAGGTTCCAGAGTTGGGGATTGTTGAACCAGTGAGTCATGACAGTGATATAAAGATGCAATATCCCAGTTTTCTATGGATTGTGTGTAACTCGAAAAGTTTTGACCTTTAACACACAGTGCTTTGTTCCATGCTTGCTGGTCTTCATTACACAGGTCAAAGTTAACAGCAGAATTTATCCAATCATGGTCACTGTAGCCCCCACTCTCATACTGGTTGGATCTCCTTTTACTCCAGTCTGCGTCACTCAGTGGTTCCATTAAATATGTAGCTTTTCCAAAACTGTAGCTCTTGCTCATGGACAAGCAGTTATTCAGCATGTTCCCTTCGGATGACTGATCGATGTCCATGTCATTAAAATCATAAAAAGGAGGATTCTGCAGTACTCCACTGGACTCGTTTTCCTGATTTTGTATTTCGCCTGTGAAGGACTGACAAAAATGTATGATTGAGTATTAGCATTAAAACATGACTACTGCATGTTCATATGAATGGATGCATTTAATATTTAGCTATGCTTCAGTTAATAAAAAGAGTAAATAAACAAAAATTTTAATATTAGTGAATTAAGGTAAAGTACCTTTTTCACTTTATAATCTCTTATCTCCTGTGATTCCCGATCCCATTATCTATCTAACCTTGTTTGATATATTCTTTCTGCAGAAATGTTATCTCCACTTTTTTCAAAATTACGTAAGCAATTGCCCTTACCAGCTAAGCCTTAAAGCTGACCTGGATGCATTTTTACATTCCAGTTCAAGGGATTCTCTAGTGCCATGAAAACAAACACGTTTTCCTGGCACTATAGGCTCCTGTAGTGCCCCCCTAGCTCGGGGGCCCACACTCCCACGGGGCTGAAGGGGTTAAAACCCCTTCAGCCACTTACCTGAATCCAGTCCCTCGGCGCTGGGTCATGCTCTGCCCACGCTCCTCCCCAGCCTACGTCAGCTGGCAGGGGAGACCTAATGCGCATGCGTGGCTATAGCCGCACGCGCATTAGACCTCCCCATAGTAAAGCATTATTCACTGCGTCCAGCGTCAGATTACGGGCCACAAGACGTTTAGATTCCACAAGCCGTCTAGTGGCTGTCTGGTAGACAGCCACAGAGGGCAGACATGGAGCTGCTATGTAAACATTGCAGTTCTCTGGAACTGCAATGTTTAACATTGCAGCACTAAGTGCAAAAGGGACATAGTACCCAGACTACTTCAATTAGCTGAAGTGGTCTGGGTACCTACAGTGTCCCTTTAAAGTTCATGTAGGTTTATAGAAAGAGGGACCCATTAACCGTAGCTTACAGGGAACATCCTGAAATTATTTCTCTTAAGGTTTGCATTGCTGAAGAAATGTGAGACTCTGAGTATAACCATACAGCCTATAGGTAACTGTTCAACATGTGTAAAACACAAACAAGCCTTGCTAAGTCCAGTATTTTGTAGAAAACATAAATAATAACCTATCGAAACCAACCAAGTTAGCACAATTCAACCCATGTCCTTGCATTACGCTGTGAAAATGAATCATAGCAACACTACACAGCTGCCAGGCAGAGATGAAAAGTGAATTCCTGTAATGCAGCAGAGCCTGTTCACAGCTTTTATTACACAGATTTCTTCATAACGTTGTACAAGAAAGTATTACTTGTAAATTATGTAAAATGGCTCCAGTGGCGGATCCAGAGTCTGATCTCGGGAGGGGCACTTGTAGATTATTCAAAGAAATAATCCAGGCACAATAACCACTACAGCTCAGTGTAGTAATTATGGTGCCCGTAGTGCCAGGATCCCCTCCCAGAGTAAGTAGTCAAACCGTTTAAGAACAGTTTGACAACTTACCTGGGGTCTGCTGGGATATGGGGCATAGGAGCAGTGGTATGTGTTAGGGGTAAAGTGTGTGTGAAAGGTGCAGTGTGTGTGTGTGAGCGGTGAAGTGTGTGTGCGAGTGCGTGAGGGCGGCAGCGTATGTCAGGATTGCAGTGTATGTGTGGGGCAGTGTGTGTGTGAGAGCTGCAGTGTGTGTGTGTGTGAGCGGTGCAGTGTGTGTGAGAGTTGCAGTGTGTGTGTGTTTGGGGCAGTGTGTGTATGGGTGTGCAGTGTGTGTATGGGGGCAGTGTTTGTGGTGCAGTGTGTGTATGGGGGCAGTGTTTGTGGGGCAGTGTGTGTAGTGTGTATGAGGGGCAGTGTGTGTAGTGTGTGTTTGGGGAAGTGTCTGTAGTGTATGTATGGGGGCAGTGTTTGTGGGGCAGTGTGTGTAGTGTGTGTATGGGGGCAGTGTTTGTGGGGCAGTGTGTGTATGGGGGCAGTGTTTGTGGGGCAGTGTGTGTAGTGTGTGTAGTGTGTGGGGGCAGTGTTTGTGGTGCAGTGTGTGTAGTGTGTGTATGGGGGCAGTGTTTGTGGGATAGTGTGTGCAGTGTGTGTATGGGGGCAGTGTTTGTGGGACAGTGTGTGTGGTGCGTTTATGGGGGGCAATGTTTGTGGAACAGTGTGTGTAGTGTGTGTATGGGGGGCAGTGTGTGTAGTGTGTGTATGGGGGGCAGTGTTTGTGGGGCAGTGTGTGTATGGGGGCAATGTTTGTATGGGGGGGAATGAGGGGGCAGCTTTTAATTTTTTTTTTAATTAATAAAATAAATACTCATTATGTCCCCCCTCCCATCTTACCTTTATTGGGAGGAGGGGAGATATTTCTGGATCCCTGGTGGTCCGGTGGGGATTCCCTGGTGGTCCCAGTGGTAGTAGTGAACTCTAGCCTGCAGCTCCATGGCTAAAGTTCATTCTCGCGAGAGTTGGAGCGTTGCCGTGGTAACCGCGGCAACACTCCGTGCTCGCAAGAGGAGGACCCGGAGGAGCTGCAGGTAAGAGCTCCCAGGTCCTCTCTCCTCCCTCTCCCTCCCCTGTCGGCTGCTAGCACGGTGCCTGCAGGCACATTGCAGGGCTGGTACTTGGACAATGCCAGCCCTGCACTAGCCGGCAGGGGAGAATCTCGGGGGGGGGGCAATTGTCCCACCCCTGGATCCGCCACTGAATGGCTTATGGCTACAAGCTAAGTGAGATTGCATAGTCAGCCTGTGGAATGTTGTACAGTAAATTTTTATTACTCAGGACAAAAATTAACACAAGAGGGCTTGGGCTTGACATGTAAACCTTAAAGGTACAATGTAGTTGGTAGCTCTTTACTTTTGAATATTTCCATTTATTTGAAAATGCTACACAATGAGAGGCCTTTTCTGCGTTTACTCTCATTCCATATACTGATGTATTGAGGAAAACTTGTCATTGAAAACTATCCATCCTACAGGAAGTCTCCACACACAAAAATCTACAATGGAGTTTTATAATAAGGCAAACCCCACCATCTTTCTGGACTTTTTGCATTCTATATATAGCTACATATTGTGCTGCGGAATATATTATTTATTACTATATGTTTTCTTTGCATATCCTCACTACTTCTAGGCACAACCTGTTCCTTTATCGTGCATGTGTGCAATTTCTGCTGTTGGAATTATTTGAGGGTAACCCAACTATCAGAGTTAGCGCTGTATCCACTGCTTTTCAAGTTTACTTTGTGTAATGCAGTAGAGCCTGTTCACTCATTAGGCGTTTATTACACAGATTTCTTCATAATGTCGTACAAGAAAGCCTTTCATGAAAATTATGTAAAATGGCTCATGGCTCCAAGCTAAATAAGATTACATAGTCAGCTTGTGGAATGTTGTAGAGTAAATCTGTATTACTTAGGACATTAATTACTTATTAATATATGAGCATATGACTTGAAGTCACTGTTGCTTCATCTCATTAAAGTGACTGTATTGGCTGGAATCCCTTGTAGATGTTCTTCCATTTAGTGTTTTAATACTCTACTAGATTTGATCCAAAACAGATATGTAGAATATCTGTTGTGACTAAACTGTCCTAACATATCTGTAAATGTTTAAAAGGAAATGTATTGATAGAGCATAGAGCTTATAATTTCCCATACAAAGCCAACACATGTTAACATATCTATTGCTGGTATTACTGTTCTTGTGACTTAAGACATAGTTAATATTCTCAACCTGTTGGAACCGATTTGTATAACCATAATGTAATAAACTTCTTTAATATGCCCAGCAAAATCTATATAAATTATGTGTCATGTTGGTAATTCCCATGATGTCATTGTGCCCTGAGGCTGTAGTGTTAGCTGACACCGTCAGTTCAATCATTGGCCACCAGGCAAACCTTCCTATCATGGAAGTGGCTGAAAGAAAGGACATCTTTAGGGGTAAAACCAACATAGTTTAACCCAAAAGGGTAAAAAAGTACCTGAACACTCCTACTTCCATAAAAATATAATTTAATTATAATAAAGATAGAATTTAAACTAGGGATTCTTAAACCATGGATTGAGACTCAAAATTGGGTTTCTAGTCTCCATTCTGTTTCCGAGGTCCCCAATGGTTGGCTTAAAAATACTTTGTGTACCTCTTGCAAAGCTAGTCTTAATAGTCTTAATATACTCATAATGCCTATTAAATATCTGCTTTACTCCAAATAAAAGTTATAATTAAAGGACCACTCTAGGCACCCAGACCACTTCAGCTTAATGAAGTGGTCTGGGTGCCTGGTCCAGCTAGGGTTAACCCATTTTTTCATAAACATAGCAGTTTCAGAGAAACTGCTATGTTTATGAATGGGTTAAGCCTTCCCCCTAATCCTCTAGTGGCTGTCTTATTGACAGCCACTAGAGGCGCTTGCGTGCTTCTCACTGTGATTTTCACAGTGAGAGCACGCAAGCGTCCATAGGAAAGCATTGTAAATGCTTTCCTATGCGACGGGCTGAATGCGCGCGCAGCTCTTGCCGCGCGTGCGCATTCAGCCGGCGGGGCGTAACGGAGGCGGAGAGGAGGAGGAGAGCTCCCCGCCCAGCGCTGGAAAAAGGTACGTTTTTACCCCTTTCCCCTTCCAGAGCCGGGCGGGAGGGGGTCCCTGAGGGTGGGGGCACCCTCAGGGCACTATAGTGCCAGGAAAACGAGTATGTTTTCCTGGCACTATAGTGGTCCTTTAAAGTAAGAAACACAGCACTGTCCTAACATATCTGTAAATGTCAACAAGTCCACCGCCAGGTTGTGATGGTTGAAAGATACAATGGGGCCTAACCCCTAGAAGTGCAAAGAGAAAATAGGACTAATGGGTTGCAGATTATAAACAATCTGCCTCCCAAAAAGACCTTTTATCCTTATGTGAAAAAAGCTACTCTGCAATTATAAATATAAAAGTGGAGCGTAGAGAGCAAAAAACGAAAAACTCTTTATTAATCCCTCTTGGGGGAGAAACACACAGATGCTAAACAAACAAGTAATAAAATTAGGATCTAATTGGATAGAATCGACTAGTCCAAAAATAATAGTAATATGGTCAGAAGAAATGCTATAAGTATGTGTGTGGCAGAATTGCCATAAATAGTAGCAAATAACTATGACCAAAAGGGGGGAGATACATTAAATGTAGCAAACTGAAGATCTCTAAATGCAAAAGTAAATAGACTCTATAATTAGAACAAAGAGTATATCAAGTGCATAAAAAATATATGTGCAAAGATCTACCAAAATACGTTTGCAACATTGCAGGAAAAGAGCCTGCAGTCTAAATAGTCAGTAATATAAATGTTAAACGAACTGCCTAAACAGCTGTAGGAGATTTGGGGGAAGGAGTCCCTAATAACATGCTGGTAATAGACTAGTATCAAATCCCACCATGTATGTGGCAGAGTTGCCATAAATAATAGCAAATAACTATGACCAAAAGGGGGGAGATACATTAAATGTAGCAAACTGAAGATCTCTAAATACAAAAGTAAATAGACTCTATAATTAGAACAAGAGCATATCAAGTGCATAAAAAATATATGTGCAAAGATCTACCAAAATACGTTTGGTATTTTACTTTTGCATTTAGAGATCTTCAGTTTGCTACATTTAATGTATCTCCCCCCTTTTGGTCATAGTTATTTGCTACTATTTATGGCAATTCTGCCACACACATACTTATAGCATTTCTTCTGACCATATTACTATTATTTTTGGACTAGTCGATTCTATCCAATTAGATCCTAATTTTATTACTTGTTTGTTTAGTATCTGTGTGTTTCTCCCCCAAGAGGGATTAATAAAAAGTTTTTTGTTTTTTGCTCTCTGCGCTCCACTTTTATATTTATAATTGCAGAGTAGCTTTTTTCACATAAGGATACAAGGTCTTTTTGGGAGGCAGATTGTTTATAATCTGCAACCCATTAGTCCTATTTTCTCTTTATAATTAAAGTAACATTACTATCCAAAACCTCCTCACATTTATACTTTTATGTGGCCACCTCCAAATCTGGTCTGGACTGCAAAGTTACATAGTGAAAAATAAAAGGGGGGAGAGGAATTTGCGGCACAGAGTCAGAAGCTGTCCTAAATAATGTAAGTTGCACTATGGCAGCAATTCACTCTGGGTAGAGTAAAACAATTACACCCTCCCTCGAGGTGAAACAAGGGAACCAATAGGACTACATATGGGCAAGCTTGTTCATAGATTTATGTATTTAAAGTTGATAGGTCCAACTTTAATGATTTCTGAGAGAAGTGACAGGGTCTAGGGGTGTTATGATAAGGAAATTTAAGATAACTATCTCACAATTGATGGCTTTTACCCAGTCTACCTGTTAGATAACATGGTTTGTTAAATGAAGCTTTGACCTCACTTCCTCTGGTGAAGGACAACTCTGTTCTTTGGTTTCATATTGTACTAATTATGATTTAAATTACTACTACTTTTGTATCATTTTTAAAGTCTTGTCATATAAAAAGGATGTTTTGATTTAGTTCCACAGAATTATAATTATTTCAATGTACACATGCCAGTTTGCTATGAGCCTTGGGGATATATACACACCCAGGTCAATGTAGGTAATACAGATCATGATTGGATGTAGTTTTTATTATTATCACATACCTCTTCAGTTCTAGTCCTTTTAAGCCCCAGGGAATTGGTTAAAATTGCTGGGCGCTTCTTCTGTCCTGTCTTTCTGGTATCTGATTCCAGTTTTGTTTCCGGTTTTGGATGGTCATGAATTCCTTTTGTCTTTAAGGAAAGAAAAAAACATCTATGGGAAATGGCAGTAATGTAATGTAGGTCCGCCTGTCTAGACAAGTTCAACCACTCACATGTCACCCTTTCTGCTTATAATAAAAAAAATGAATTTGCCCCATTGAAGAAATGTATAATTATTTGTAAATGTCATAAGTATGTTTTTTTGACTGAACATGTAAACAAATATATTATTGGAAACAACATTGCACAAGGCAAGACAGTATGCCTAGTGCGCAGTCTTATGTTTTGTCACCTGTAAATGGCACTTAATCATATGTATATTATTAAGTGCAATAGTACACAAAACACATGGGCAGAGGTTCATGATTATTGCAATTATATAACGACAAGCAGGGCCGGCGCATCCTATAAGGCGACCTAGGCAGCCGCCTAGGGGGCCACTTAGGAGGGGGCGCCCTCATCGCCGGCCCTTTTCATGCTGCAGCCACTTGAGCGCTCTAAAGAGAGCATCAGATGGCTGCAGCACTGCCTCTCTCCCCCCTTTCTCCTCACCCTCCCCTTCCCTGTGTAGTGTGGCCGAGCTCCTCTCAGTGAGCACTTCCTGTCAGTCTGGCTAGGTACAGGAAACAGAAGCTCCTGTACCGCAGACCGGAGAAGAGCTCGGCCATTCTACTCAGGGAAGGGGAGGTGAGGAAACACGGTGGGGGTGATGTGAATTGAGGGGGGGAAAGGGAGTCCACTAAGGGAAGGGGGGGTGAGAAGAGTCCATTAAGGGAGGGAGGGGGTGTGAGGAGAATGTGGGGGGAGGGTCCACTAAGAGATGGAGGGGAGTGAGGAGAACGTGGGGGGGAAGAGATCACTAAGGGAGGGGGTAGTGAGGACAACGTGGAGGGAGGGTGAGGAGAATGGGGAGAGTCCACTGAGGGAGGGAGGAGGGGTGGAGGACAACGTGGGAGGGAGGGGGTGAGGAGAATGGGGGAGAGACCACTAAGGGAGGGGGGGTGGTGGACAGACCACTGGGGGATGAGAGACCACCAAGGAGGGGGGGAGGAGAATCTGGGAGGGTGAGGAGAACAAAGAGATGGGAGGGGGTGAGGAGAACGTGGAAGAACGGAAGGGAGGGTGAGGAGAATGGGGAGGAGAGTCCACTAAGGGAGGGAGGAGGGTGTGAGGATAACATGGGAGGGAGGGGGTGAGGAGAATGTGGGGAGAGAGACCACTAAGGGAGGGAGGGGTGGTGGACAGAACACTGGGGGTGAGAGAGACCACTAAGGAGGGGGTGAGGAGGAGAACTTGGGAGGGTGAGGAGAACGGGGGAGGAGAGAGTCCACTAAGGAGGGGGGGTGGTGAAGAGAATGTGGGGGAGGGTGAGGAGAATAGGGGGCGGAGGGGACCACTAAGGGAGGCAGGGTTTGGTGGCGAGACCACAAGGGGAGGGGGGTGAGGAGAGACCACTAAGGGAAGGGGGGGTGAAGAGAACGTGGGGAGGGAGAATCCACTAAGGTAGGGGGGTGGTGAGGAGAACGTGGGAGGGAGGTGGAGGAGAATGGGGGACGAAGTCCACTAAGAGAGGGAGGGGGGTTGTGAGAAGAACATGGGAGGGAGGAGGGGATGAGAAGAACGTGGGAGGGGGAGACCACTAAGGGAAGGGAGGTGGTGGTGGAGAGACCACTAGGGGAGTGGGGTGAGAATAGACTACTAGGGGAGGGTGGGGGGAAAGGAGAGACCATTGAGGGTAGGGGGAGGGAGGAGAGTCCACTAATGAAAAGGACTGAAAGAGGGGAGAGACCACTAATGGAAAGGGGGGGGAGGAGAGACAACTAATGGAAAGGGGGGGAAGGAGAGACCACTAGAAGGGGCAGAGGAGAGCAGAGACCACTAAGGGGTAGACGAGAGACCACTAATGGAAAGTCAGGGAGAGACCACTAAGGGAGGGGGGAGGAGAGTAGAGACCACTAAGGGACAGGGGATGAGAGACCACTATGGGGCAGGGGAGAGCTCTAAGGGACCTAAGGAGAGAGCTATGTAGGGCAGGGGGCAGGACAGGGAGCTCTTTCACACTACGCACACACACACACAATGCATCCCTATACATACACAGAAACACACAATGCATCCCTACACACACAGAAACACAACATGCGTCCCTTACAGAAAGAGAAACACACAAAATGCAACCCTTACACACAAAGACAATAGGTACACAGAAACACACAATGCATCCCTTACACACACATGCAAACACACACTGCTTCACTTACACACACACACAGAAACACAATGCATCTCTTAGACACACTCAATGCACCCCTTACAGACACACACACTGCATCCCTTACACACACATCCAGACAATGCATCCCTTACACACAACCAGAAACACACAATACATCCTGTAACGGACCGTTTTGCACACAAGGGGTAAAAACCGTTTAGGCGATCGTCCCCCTTTCCAGAGATGCAGGCACAGCTCCTGCAGAACACCAATCCGCCGAACAGGAAACCATATGAATACTGTAAACAGCCGAATAGGAAAAACCATACGAATAGGTTTACACTCCTAGCAGTCGAACTTGAACAGCATACAATAAATCCCCCCAAGAACGAGACAAAGCTCCGTGTTGAGGGTCAAGCAGTGAACAAACAGAGCTGTGGTTTTATTGTGCTTATGTACACATCCTTACACATTAGTACCACCCACAGGGTTTTGGAACACAACCAATAAACACATACAATACACTCAGACACTCCCACACAAATTCCTCCCCTCTGCATGTGATTCAATTACCTTACACAATGGGTAATGTAATTTAGCACAAGCAGAGAAATAAAATTTTTCCACATTATTCATAATTTGAAAAGTATGCATCACATTTACATTTTCAGAATCAGCATACTCCAAATACAAACATACGTCAAAATCATACAAATTGGTCCAGTGGTTCAAAAGATAGATCGTAGTCCTTTGTGACCGCAGGAAGCATGGCTTTTCTGCCCAAAACCAGTTCCACAGAGTCTTCTATCCTGGAGATAATTAGAAGTAATCCAATTATCTCCAAAAACAGAGGCAAAACTCCACTGAACACATGGCAGCAAAAAGACAGTAAAATACTATAAAATACACAAGGTTATATTTATGACATAAAATACAGGCATGCAACATATGCCCAGATAGCTTAGGTCTAAGCGCACATTATTACTGAATGGCGCTCAGAGCACACACATACAGTTCAATTGCCATGGAGCCAAAGTCTTTCCCTTAGTCTTTCATTATACGAATGGGCTCCATGGCATAGCTATCTGGGGTATCACTGCTCAAACAGGGCAAGCACCAAATGACCCGGCTTTCTTGTTTTTGCAGGGGAAAATCAAGCCTTTTAACATGGGGCCATAATCCCAAGGCAACAGGTGAGCAACCCGGCTTCTCCAATGCAATGTGGCGAGATTGGTCTCATCACACATCCCTTATACACAAACATACACTGCTTTCTATCTCTTACACAAAAACACACTGCTTTCACTACACACAAAAAAAACAGCATCACCTACACAAACTGGTATCCCTATACACTAAATTCCATAAGCACACACATTAGATCCTCTACAATAACACATAACACATCCTCTACACACTACATTCCCTGTGAGCGAACTCATGGGTGGAACATGTAGGTGGACTTATGGTTGGGCCTTATGGGCATACTCACCGTCAGGCCCTGGGGCCCAGACCTTGAGCTGTGTAAGGGGCCCCAGAAAATGGAGCTGCTTCCCGTCCTCCCAGAACATTGAATTTTGTGACCATAGTTACAAACAGCTTCCAGAGATCCTGTTCTACACCAGACCAGTGGAGCCAAACTGCAGCCAGAGCCCATCACCATCATCATCTGGTTGTAAGTAGGCAATTTAGTAAATTATTAGTGACACTAATCTCTAATTTACCTCACATTAAAGGGACACTATAGTCCCCAAAACCACTGCAGCTTAATGGAGTGGTTCTGGTGTCTATAGCCTGTCCCTGCAGGTTTTTTAATGTAAACACACATATGTGGCATTCATATGGGTGGGGCATTGTGATGTCACATTGGGGGGATGGCAAATTTTTAATTTGCCCAGGGCGGCAAAAATCCGTGCACCGGCCCTGACGACAAGCCGTTACTTACTGAAACGGCTCTTAAATCGTTAGATATAAACTTAACACTTAACAATGAAACTTAGCTGCTATCTTAGGTTTCATCATCTATCACAGAGATAAACATGATCTCCTAAAGGCTAAATAGCACTGGTTTCCATATTAGATGGTACAAATTATGTGCATGTGTCCATTTGACTAAAATTACAACTATGTTATAAGTATAAAGAAAAAAAGACAAGTTAACAATTGAAAACTCTCACTGTATCCAACTCTCACTATATCCTATGACAAATAAAAATGTCTTCTATATTTTAGTGCATTTAAATACTGAATCCCAGTAATAAACCAGGGGCATGCATTTTTTAATATAAATACCTATCAAATTTGGCAAGTCGGGAAAAGAAAAACAATAAGGGGCAACTAGCTTTCACAATTGCAGGTCAAGCGGAAATGTGCTTAGTGAACCTTGTTGAGTTGCCATGGCAATAACTTAGAACATTTGAATTTTTTTTTATGAACAATTTGCAAAATGGTAAGGGCTAATTGGTGGACAGATCAGTAGAGGATAAAAGAGTAGCATGCAGATGTTAAATACATGCTTTGAATGTGGAAACCTGGCACAAACATATAATGGCTATTATGAGCACAACATCACATATATCACCCATACGTATACATATAGAGATTATAGTGAAATCAAAGATTCACTATTTGAGTGGCGTATGTTGCGCTTTGATTTCAATACAATCTCTACATATATAATGGTGAGTGTGCCTATATGTGTACGGACATCATGCAACCCGAAATATTTATTGTGTCCTAATAAATCACTGGTAGCACCTTAATAGCATTGCCGTCATATTGCCTTTTTATATTAAAGGGACACTATAGGCACCAAACTACTTCATCTCATTGAAGTGGTCTGGGTGCAGTGCCCCTGTCCTTTGAGCACTGCAATGTTTTAGCGAAACCGCATTGTGTACATTTTAGTTTTAATTCCACTTCTAGTTGCTTCTAGAGGTGCTTCCTGTTTTTTCATGGAGTGATGTGTGACGATTTGTGTGAGGATGTCCAGCATCATCAAAATTCCCACAGTAAAGTCCTAACGTGCGTGCAGCACTCACCGCGCATGTTCATTAGATTTCCTGCATGACATCGGAGGAGGAGGTGTAGCCAGAGCCAAGTGACTTCAGCACTGGCAACAGGTAAGTGAAAAATGGGTTAGGCCTGTAGTTATTAGCCGAGGGACACTATAGTGTTAGGAATACAGTTTTGTATCCCTAACACTATAGTGTTCCTTTAATAATACTCAGCAGCTGCTTTTCACCAGCAAGCATGAAAATTTGCCTTTTCAGCTTTTGATTATGAGGCTGTGGGTTATTGTTAGCCAGCTCCTTTCTTCAGTGGACTATTAGCTGGAGTCTACTGCTCCTACATGTTGATCATCACGCTCCAACTGTTTTGGTGAGTAATATGCTTTTATTTTCATTTTTATTTAAACCTTTATACAGAGCAAAATGTTGAATCCCTCACATGGAATAAATGCTTCCATCAGTCTTTGAAAAATGCAACAAAAAAATTATTTCATAAAAGCAGAATGAACAGGGGCTGCAGAAAATGAAGACATGTAATGTCACCCCTGCTGAGTAAACCCTAACAAGATACACAATAAGGCACCACATTTTTGTAGCTGCAGTCAGTTTGCATGGACCTATATAGATTGAAATAAGCCCCTTATGCTTCTTATGATGTTGAGAAGCTATAATATTTTGGAAAACTCACCTGAAAATATATATAAGGTCCTTCATGCCTCCAGAAATTGGTCACTGGAAAACCTCCATGTCCTCGACAAGAAATAAGTTTTAATGGTCCATTGCAATTTGTACAGCGTTTGCCTGAAAAGACATAGGACCCACATGTGGATATTGACGAGAAATTGATTTTATGCTATCATCATCATGTGCTACTGAAAATTATTTTTGCATTCTTTCAAATTATTATTAACATAAATTATAGTTTATATGCTATTTGGGTAATTATCTATCATAATTTAACTTATTTATATGTTAGTGTGTTTATTAGATCTAGGCTGAGAAAATACAGCCTCAATAATATGTAACTTTGACACAGACATAGAAACATAGAATGTGACGGCAGATATGAACTATTCGGCCCATCTAGTCTGCCCAATTTTCTCAATACTTTCATTATTCCCTGCCCTTATCGTATAACTAGGATAACCTTATGCCTATCCCATGCATGCTTAAACTCCTTCACTGTGTTACCCTCTACCACTTCAGCTGGAAGGCTATTTAATGCATCCACTACCCTCTCAATAAAGTAATACTTCCTGATATTATTTTTAAACATTGGCCCCTTTAATTCAAGACTATGTCCTCTTGTTGCGGTAGTTGTTCTTCTTTTAAAGTGACACTGTCATGGCCGCATCCGTTTTTTTTCATAACCCCCCTTCCGACTCCACTACCTCTAATAGCCCCCCTAGCAATCCCCAAATACCCCTAAGCCCACCATATTACCTATTTTTTTATCTTTATTTTATGCCTAGACCTAGGTCCTGGGTGCCACCATCTTTGTGTGGGCAGATGAAGGCCCTGGCCACACTAGATAGCGCTATGAAATTCCCACGCATGCCCTGTTAAATATAGTCTTCTCCTTTACTGTGTTGATTTCCTTTATGTATTTAAATGTTTCTATCATATCCCCCCTGTCTTGTTTTTCTTCAAGCTATACATGTTAAGATCCTTTAACCTTTCCTTGTAAGTTTTATCCTGCAATTCATGAACTAGTTTAGTAGCCCTTCTCTGAACCCTCTCCAGAGTATCAATAGATATGGTCTCCAGTACTGCAAACAATACTCCAAGTGAGGTCTCACCAGTGTTCTGTACAATGACATGAACACTTCCCTCTTTCTACTGCTAATACCTCTCCCTATACAACCAAGCATTCTGCTAGCATTTCCTGTTGCTCTATTACATTGTCTGCCTACCTTTAAGTAATCTGAAATAATCACCCCTAAATCCCCTTCTTCAGATGATGAGGTTAGGACTCTATCAAATATTCTGTACTCTGCCCTTGGGTTTTTACGTCCAAGGTGCATTATCTTGCACTTATCCACATTAAATGTCAGTTGCCTCAGCTCTGACCATTTTCTAGTTTACCTAAATCATTTGCCATTTGGCTACTGAAACATCACCCTGTTACATCTCTTATCATCAGCAAAAAGACATACCTTACCATTAAGACCTTCTGCAATATCACTAATAAAAATATTAAAGAGAATGGGTCCAAGTACAGATCCCTGAGGTACCCCACTGGTGACAAGTCCAAGCTTCGAATATATTCCATTAACTACAACCCTCTGTTGCCTGTCACTCAGCCACTGTCTTACCCATTCAACAATGTTGGAATCCAAACTTAAAGATTGCAATTTATTGATAAGCCTTCTATGTGCATCAGTGGCAAAAGCCTTACTGAAATCTAGGTAAGCAATGTCTACTGCACCACCCTGATCTATAATTTTAGTTACCCAATCAAAACAATCAATAAGATTAGTTTGGCATGATCTCCCTGCAGTAAACCCATGTTGTCTCTGATTTTGAAATCCATGTGATTTTAGATGTTCAACAATCCTATCCTTTAACATGGTTTCCATTACTTTCTCCACCAGACAGTTTTATTCTAACCTAAATCAGACTAAATATAGGCTAAAATTCTCAAATCATAGATTGGCTATTTTAGCATCCATTTTTACCATTTAGATTTAATTTTAGGAAAAAAAAACTTGAGTTGTAAATCAACCTGAGACTGCTAATTCCAGCACAGTTTGACTAGCTTTCACCAGTGTTGTTAAATAACATGGATTGTTGGATGTTTTTGTCATGCCTTATTCTTCCCCTTCATTTCCAGTCATAGACACTACCTACTACCTACTTGGTTTTTACACTCTTCAGAGGCTCTCTAACAAAACCTAGCCTTCTCAATCCAACACAAACATCAAAAAGATTATATTTATCCTTTGGATGGGAAAGCTAAATATCTTTGTTGATGATATCCTATTAATTGGGTTATTCACTAACTTCCGAATAGCCCCATCCCAAATAGGGCAAAACCCTCTGGCTGCATATGGAGTTTTAGCAGTTTGCTGGTCTGGAGCATTCAGGGGTGTGTTAACACAATGCCAAGGAGGAAAGACATCAGCAATGTTTTAAGAGAAGAAATTGTTGCTGCCCATCAGACTGGGAAGAGTTATATTATATGTATATTAATATCTGAACTCTGTTCAGCTGATTACCCCACTTTATGAATAATATAACATTAATATTAATATTATTATTTTTGTATTTTTTTTTTATTTTTATTATTTTAAAATTTCTCTTTTGAGCCTTCATAGATCAGAATCCTTCCTAAACTCATCTAAAGTCAGCAGTGGTTCCTCTAGGTCAAACTCATCTTACCTCTTTTACCTCGTCCCAAATTATGTCCACCCTCCACCAATCAACCCATCACATTGGCATCTGACTGTCGTAACTCAGTTCCCCAATATTAATAGCTTGATTCCATCTAATTCTAATGTTTATTGTGTGCTCTGTTGATGGTATATGAAATGTGCTCATTGATAACAATATCTTGAATAATGTATGTTTCCAGAACCAAAACAAGTATCACTTATCTCTACCATAGACTTATAAATCTAGGGACATACTTTTTATTCCATTTTGCTAAACTTCTGTGCATTTAGCAAAAATTTTGACACTGGACTTCCAAGTTTAAAGACAATCCAGGTACCCGTAAGTTTTCTGCCCATCCCTCAAACCTTCCTTTTAATGTTATTGTGGGACAAAGTTCTAAAACTTGCGCAATTATCATGGAAATAATTGAATACCTCTATACCCTGCTGAGTCTATGGTTTCACCACTGATTCATCTACTTTTAGAACTTTGGTACACAATCCTTATTACCATACGAATCCCCACTGAGTCTATGCTATGATTGGAAGATATACTGCAGGCTAATGTTATGTTTAATAAAATTTAGATTTTTATGATTTTATAATTTTTTGGTGTGGCTAGAACACTTCAAATAGCTTGATTTGAAGTTCCATTTACACTGAGATTTTCTTAGGCAATCATTTGTACTATTTCTTTATTGTTTTGTGAGGTCCAGTATCCCTCAACTGAATATTGCAAGGAGATCCCGTCTGAATAATATGTACACCTACTCTGTTGCTTCTGACGTGCTTTGTCACAGATGGCAGGCCTGAGATAGGTTTTTCTGCCATCTGGTGCTGTACAGTCATTGCTGCAGACAAGAACCCCAAGGCAGGACTTCTTCAGTATTCGAGAATTGTGGTTATTGGTATTGCGCATTGCCCAGCCACTCAGATGTCTCTGTGCATTTTTATCTGTAGAGCTGTAAATGTGCTTCACGTAGGAATCGGGCCACTCCTGAAACCAGTCTGTTTGCTTTGGATCCTGAAAGCAGAGAGACAATGCAAGATTATTTTGAGCAAAGATATATTACAATGACATTACTTCCTTGTAATCAATTTATTTAATTAATTAATGTATTTATACAATGTAAAAGAACAAAAATTCAGCTCTTCACATTGCTTCACAACAAACTGATGAGGTTTCCTAAAACCCATAACAAGGCCCTGGGGAGTCAGCACAGCTAAACGGACAAGGGCACATGTATGAGTGTGGGGATGGTGCTAGTGATTGGCTATATGTGTTTAGGGGAGTGGTTATGGGTTTGTAGTGGGGCAGGGATCATCTTACCTCAGTGCCTTTTGGGATTCTGGCCAGCAAACAACTTCCCACCCACCCTATGAGGAAAAACCCCTAGTTTTCATAAAGTGATACTGCCTCTCAATCAGTGACCTAATGAAAATTGGGGGAAGTGTGGGTATGGAAGACCATAATAACCCCAGCCCCACTTAAGGAGAACACCATTTTCTGAAATTTTGTACATGGAAAATGTTATGTATTGGTTAGGAATATTAGTAGAATATATGATCTAATTTATGTTCTTAAAAGCTATACCAGATGTTCTAGGGGATTTATTGCCCCATCCTCACTGGTTTCTAAACCTATATTCCCAAGTGAAAACCAGAGGATTCTTTGGGGGAGATTTATGAAGGTTCCTATTCTAAAAAGTGGTGCATAAATGTAGTAGGGGAAGGAGTCAACCCTAAAACATACCTGCTGGTTTTCGCAGTGATTGCCTCACTTTTAGTAGTTAGGAACATTTTCTTTTGCAGCAGCGGAAAACTTTGATAACTCTCCCCCTGTATAAATAGCACTTTGATCACCCAACCCTGGCTCCATTATAAATAAAAAAAAAAAACACATGGCCCTACCTAATTATTATTAAACAGGGGAATGGACCTTACATGATTTGGTTTTAATTAATACTATAAAATAAGTATGCCATTGTTATAATATCCAGCCTTGTTGCAGAAGTCTCATCTTCTGACCACGGACACATTCTCCCTAAAATAAAAAAAAACATAAACCCAATATATCTTGTGGAGCATGCTCAGTGATATATTTCCCACATGCTTCAAACATGACAATGAGGTTTGTTCAGTGATTGGTTATTATATTCTATCAATTTCTTGTCTCTGCCTGTTTCTATTCACCATTTGTGAGGTTTTCACGCGAATGAATTTTTTATCAAAAAATGTAACTTTGTTAAAACAGTCGGTTATGGGATTCTATTGATCGACTCCCTAGTGATAATATATAATATTGCCTGTAGAAAACTGCAGAAAATTGTATCCTCCCTAAATTGTGCTAGAATTACTATGGACTGCACCCCTCCTGATTTTTTTTGTTTGTTCCAAGTTGATAGTTGAAATATGACAGTTTATATAACAAAGTGTGTTTTTTTTATAACAAAAAGAAAAGGTAATCAATCAACAAACTCTGTGCATGCGTTAACCCTCTCACTGTCAAGGGTTATTTAATTATTAACCTGCTGGCTGCTACTGCTGCTAGGGGGTAAATAGTACTTACATTTACTGCTCACTTGCATAAAAACAAGTGAAAGATAATTTAGAAATGTGCATGCTGACTGATATTATAAAATCATTATCCTATCCTTTGGATCAGGTCTTTAGTGAATAACCCCATGAGGTCTAATATGAGTCTGTGTTCAACAAATCTCTTTTTAGAGAAATTGTTCCATACTCTTTCTAAAATGATTTTTGACTGTTTGACACAATAGTTTGTTTTCAAGTATGATAAAATATAGCTCCCACTAATGTAAAGTTCTATTTCCCTTAGGACCCATATATTTATTATGAGTAATTCATGTTTTTTTTCTTGTTACTCTTTTAAGTATAGCATAGTCAGTGTTTTTAATTGGTAGTAACGTGTCTTAGTTAGTAGCATTGAACAGCAAACTTCCAAATATTATTGTTTGCAGGGCTTTTACCCGGGTATCAGTTAACAGCGAATAAAACACCAAGACTGTCTGGGCTTGAGTGATCCAACAGTCCCAGTCTATCTAAAGCAGAACTACAGGCACACAACACCACATTCTGCATTGAGTATATGACATGATTCATAAATCTTTCAACTACATTATAAACTAGTCTTGCCTCTACCCTTCGCCCTTCTATCCTGTTGCTGTTTGCTTCTACCAGCCCCTGCCCATTCTAGTTATGCTAGAATGTCTCTATATCTTTATATATCTTACACATTCTCTTTCTATTTCCTTGAACTTTTCCCTCTTCTATTTGTGCTGAACTTCTTGTTTAACAATCTTGTAACTTAATCATGATCTTATGACAGGTTGTAAATTCCAGTCATCTCACCACGGTACTGGAACAATATAATATCACTCTACATTAATAGCAACAATAACTGTTAATATGAATGTTTGTTTTTTTTAAAGTGTATGCCCTACTGCTTTATCAGAAGTAAAAGAAATATATAACTGGATCATCACGAAGAATCATACAAAATGCAGCTATATATACAGGGAGTGCAGAATTATTAGGCAAGTTGTATTTTTGAGGATTAATTTTATTATTGAACAACAACCATGTTCTCAATGAACCCAAAAAACTCATTAATATCAAAGCTGAATATTTTTGGAAGTAGTTTTTAGTTTGTTTTTAGTTATAGCTATGTTAGGGGGATATCTGTGTGTGCAGGTGACTATTACTGTGCATAATTATTAGGCAACTTAACAAAAAACAAATATATACCCATTTCAATTATTTATTATTACCAGTGAAACCAATATAACATCTCAACATTCACAAATATACATTTCTGACATTCAAAAACAAAACAAATCAGTGACCAATATAGCCACCTTTCTTTGCAAGGACACTCAAAAGCCTGCCATCCATGGATTCTGTCAGTGTTTTGATCTGTTCACCATCAACATTGCGTGCAGCAGCAACCACAGCCTCCCAGACACTGTTCAGAGAGGTGTACTGTTTTCCCTCCTTGTAAATCTCACATTTGATGATGGACCACAGGTTCTCAATGGGGTTCAGATCAGGTGAACAAGGAGGCCATGTCATTAGATTTTCTTCTTTTATACCCTTTCTTGCCAGCCACGCTGTGGAGTACTTGGACGCGTGTGATGGAGCATTGTCCTGCATGAAAATCATGTTTTTCTTGAAGGATGCAGACTTCTTCCTGTACCACTGCTTGAAGAAGGTGTCTTCCAGGAACTGGCAGTAGGACTGGGAGTTGAGCTTGACTCCATCCTCAACCCGAAAAGGCCCCACAAGCTCATCTTTGATGATACCAGCCCAAACCAGTACTCCACCTCCACCTTGCTGGCGTCTGAGTCGGACTGGAGCTCTCTGCCCTTTACCAATCCAGCCACGGGCCCATCCATCTGGCCCATCAAGACTCACTCTCATTTCATCAGTCCATAAAACCTTAGAAAAATCAGTCTTGAGATATTTCTTGGCCCAGTCTTGACGTTTCAGCTTGTGTGTCTTGTTCAGTGGTGGTCGTCTTTCAGCCTTTCTTACCTTGGCCATGTCTCTGAGTATTGCACACCTTGTGCTTTTGGGCACTCCAGTGATGTTGCAGCTCTGAAATATGGCCAAACTGGTGGCAAGTGGCATCGTGGCAGCTGCACGCTTGACTTTTCTCAGTTCATGGGCAGTTATTTTGCGCCTTGGTTTTTCCACACGCTTCTTGCGACCCTGTTGACTATTTTGAATGAAACGCTTGATTGTTCGATGATCACGCTTCAGAAGCTTTGCAATTTTAAGAGTGCTGCATCCCTCTGCAAGATATCTCACTATTTTTGACTTTTCTGAGCCTGTCAAGTCCTTCTTTTGACCCATTTTGCCAAAGGAAAGGAAGTTGCCTAATAATTATGCACACCTGATATAGGGTGTTGATGTCATTAGACCACACCCCTTCTCATTACAGAGATGCACATCACCTAATATGCTTAATTGGTAGTAGGCTTTCGAGCCTATACAGCTTGGAGTAAGACAACATGCATAAAGAGGATGATGTGGTCAAAATACTCATTTGCCTAATAATTCTGCACTCCCTGTACATGGGATCACGGAGGGTTTTCATTCATTACAGATTAAAGAAGCTTAGGCCAAATTACTAGTGCAACTCAATTATTCAACTAGTGGACCAAGTCCCCGGAAATTATGTTAAAAATATTTGATGAGAATGATGTGCCATACCATTTGCAAAAGTAGACGACCCAAGGTATTCAAAATAGGTTATGTCCAGACTTTTTTAGTGGCCACTTAGTCAGAAGCCCTGGCCACATTTAGTGTTCATATATGTTTTTTGCATTTGGCACAGAAAAAGTGCACTTTCACGGAAGATATCATCATCGTGATACATTTTACTGTTCTAAAACACTCATATTTGAATTCAGTACAGTCTCCCAAGTACAACAGTACCTCCTATGTATCGGTTTTATGGTGTTTGTGAAAGTTACAGGGTCAAATATTGGGCTTGCCAATTCCATTTTGCCAGATTAGTATACTGGATCTATGTTGCTTTTAAGACAATATGGCAGCCCAGGAATGAGAATTACCCCCATCACGGCATACCATTGTACCCTGGGTAGATAACCCAGGGTATTCACAATGGGTCACTGGTGGATCCAGAGTCTTATCTTGGGAGGGGCACTCATAGATTATTTAAAGAAACAATGCAGGCACAATAACCACTACAGCTCTCTGTAGTGGTTATAGTGCCAGGAGTGCCGTGGCGCCCTACCAAAGTAAATAGTCAAACTGTTTAAGAACAGTTTGACAATTTACCTGGGGTCTGCAAGGATAGGGGCTGTGGTAGGGGATAGGGCCTCTAGTAGTGTGTGTGTGTGTGTGAGAGAGAGTAGGCAGTGTGTGTGTGTGTGTGTATTGGAGGCACTGAGTGTGTGAGGGATGCAGGGTAGGTATGTGAGGCAGTGTGGGGTGCAGAGTGAGTGTGTGTGTACGGGAAGCATTGCGTGTGGGACAGTGTGTGTATGGGGGTGCAGTGGGAGCACTGTGTGTAGGAGTGGCAGTGTGTGTCTGTGTGAGGAGTGTAATGTGTGCATGGGAGTGCAGTGTGTATATGTGGGGTGCAGTGGAAGCACTGTGTGTATGTCGCCAGTGTGTGTATGAGGGTGTAGTGGGGGCAGTGTGTGTATGGGAGTGCAGTTGGGGAAGTGTTTGTGTGGGGGATACGTGTGTGGGGGTGCAGTGTTTGTGTGGGGGAGCACTGTATGTATGGGGGTTCAGTGTGTGTGAGGGGGCAGACGTGTGTGGGGATGCAGTGTTTGTGTGGGGGTGCAGTGTTTGTGTGGGGGTGCACTGTTTATATGGGGATGTAGTGTGTGTGGGGGTGCAGTGTTTTTGAGGGGAGCACTGTATGTATGGGGGAGAAGTGTGTGGGGGAGAAGTGTGTGGGGTGCATGTTTGTATGGGGGAGCACTGTGTGTATGGGGTAGAAGTGTGTGTGGGGGAGACATGTGTGGGGGTGCAGTGTTTGTGTGGGGGAGCACTGTGTGTATGGGGGAGAAGTGTGTGGGGGGAGACGTTTGTTGGGGTGCATGTTTGTGTGGGGGAGCACTGTGTGTATGGGGGTGTAGTGTGTGTGGGGGGAGAAGTGTGTGTGGGTGTAGTGTTTGTATGGTGAGCAATGTGTGTGGGAGGGAGAAGTGTGTGGGGTTGCAGTGTTTGTATGGGGAGCACTGTGTGTATGGGGGAGAAGTGTGTGTGTGAGGGTGCAGTGTGTGTGGGGTGAAGTGTGTGAGTGAGTTGGCTCCAAGACCTGACATGATCCATACCTACTGGATAAAGAAATGAACAACGCTGTATGAATATCTAGCAGCACAAATGAACCAGTTACTAGCAACAGGCTCCCATGCTTACTGGCTAACACAAGGCAGAACAATACTGTTTATGAAGGACCCTCACAACATGAAAGGTCCTGTCAGGCATCATAGCCTCCAAGGTCGATGGGCATATGAGTCAATACATGAGCAAAATTCAAGAGGGGATTGGAAACACCAGATGATCAAAACACCAACTACTGGTAGAACAAACAGTCATGCAGGATTCTAAGACTAGACAGATGTGTCCAAAGCCTGGATTGACTACAAGAAAGCCTATGACAGAATGTCATGCACATAGATACTGGAATGCTTGGCTCTATAAAGGCCAACAAGACATTTAGAGCCTTCATCAAGAACTCGATGGGTGAGGACGGGGCCTGACAATCATGACGACTGGTTGTGCTCCTAGGAACACATTGAGCAAATCTTCTTTTCTGGCTGATCTATCCATAACTGGGTATTTATCAACCTACTTCTAGCTACACAAAATGAAGACCTGACCTGTGAATGCTTCCATCTGTATTTTAAGGCACTCCAGACACCGAGCTTCATTGAGGTCTAGCAAGCGCTGAGGAGGGGAGAGGTGGCCAATCTCCCGGACCGGCATGGTCAAAGTACTGAGCATGCACCTGGTGCCCTGCTACCCACCCTTTGGACCGGTGGGGGTTATCCTGGTCCCCACCCTGAGAGCTCCCAAGCCCCATCGGGGAGCACCACGAAGAAGGAAACACACGGGGTCGGAGGGGAGGGGAGAGCAACTGCTGAGAAGCCAAGCAATCTGGAACACTAATTTTCCTATAATGGGGATAGGATGACCAACAAGATGTGCATCTGAACCCAACTTATACCCAGTTTAGTGTACCTTGTCCGTATCAGACTTCTTTTTTTATTTTTTATATTTTTTATTTTCACTCGATAGGTATAGCAAATGTACAGTAACTTTTGGGGCTTTCGCAGAAGCCAACTTAAAACATTATTCTTGGTAACATCGTGCAATTCGAACAAACAATAATACATGCCCCTTATTATAACATCAAGACTTGCCCTCTACCGAGGGTTTTTGTGTTATTTAGATCAGGATAACTTGAGATAACTTGAGGAGCCCTCTCTGTTCAGAACCTATTCTTGCTGTTCCCTCGAAAGCTCCACATGCCTGGCAAAAAGATAAAAAGAAAAACGACCTCATTCCCCTAAAAAGCCAAGGGAAGGTCCAATAAAAATGAAAAACAAAATAAAATGAAAATGAGAGAGAAAAAAATACAAAATTCTTAGAGGAAAGAAAGAGAGAAGAACAGGTGTGAGAGAAGATAGCCAGAGGAAGAGCGGGATGGAGGGGAGGGAGTCCACCTTATTTATAGTGCGATGATTATTTCCTCCGTGAGGAGGGGACTTTTTCTATTTCGGGTCTGCTGTCATGTCCGTTTTTGTCAGTCTCCGCTTGAGTCCACTAAACTATTGTCCCATTGTTCCCAAAGTCTCTGGAATGCCTCTGTCGGGTCATCCATGATTCTACATTCTCTTATTCTGGATATCACCCCTGGGAATTCTGGGCCCTCTGGTGAGAGCCATGCGGTTGCTAGTGCTCTGAGAAATTTTATGTACTAGTTTCTGCTCTCTCCTGGTCCACCCGTCCAGTGATCTATTTAATAGGTAGATCCACGGGTCCATATCTAGAGGCCTATCAAATGTCTGTTTCGGCAAATCCTCCACCTACTTGCAGAAGCTGTGTATCTTTGGGCATTCCCACCACATGTGGATATACGTTCCCCGGGCTCCAACATTTGTCCGTGTCTATTTTTTGCATTTTATATAGTTTCACAGGTGTGGTATACCATCTGAACTTGGTTTTCCATGTTTGCTCCTGGAGAGTGACGCATATAGAAGCGTTATTGTTCGCCTCCCATATCTCCTGCCACTCTATTCCCTCCAGGACTTCCCCCAAGTCCGTCTTCCATTGATCGATATATGTCAGTCTTCCTTATTCTTTATTTTCTGCACTGAGGTGGGCATATAAAGGCGTGCCGCCCCGTCTAGGCATAGTTTCTCATAAAAAGTCAGCCTTCTTTGAGCTGCTATTTTAATGTGTGGTCTACTAGCGAAGTCACACATCTGGATGTATCTAAAGAAATCTGCGGGGGTTAGGTGATTGCCTTGTTGAGGTTCTGCGCATTTGATAACCTCTCCATTTCTATATAACTGGTGGATCTTTCTATTTTTCGGAATTCTCTGGGGGCCCTTCCGGGTGGGAACTCTTGGTTTCTAAGTATTGGAGTCAGAGAGGAGGAGGATGAAGCCAACACGTGTCCCATATTTGGATCAATTGAGTATGGCCGGACAAGTTGCGCGTATCATAGGTCTATGTCCCTTGGGGACCCACATCATGAACTGGGGGACATCTAAACCAACCAGCATGGCCTCTATGTTCACCCACCTTCTTTCTTCCGGGAAGGGGGAATGTCACATGGCCACCTGTGGCCGCAAGGTAGTAAAAATATAGGTTCGGTAGGCCTAGCCCCCCTCTGTCTTTACGTCTGTACAGTATTTGTCTGGAGATTCTATGTCTCTTGTTCTCCCAAATGAAATCCCCTATCGATTTTTGTAATGGTACCATTTGCGTTTTTGTAACGTGGACAGGTAATGCCTGAAATAAGAATAAGATGCGTGGGAGGGTGTTCATTTTGACTGAATTGATCAGTCCGATCCAGGAAATAGGTTTATCCAACCACTTTTCTAGGTCTCTTATCAGTGCTCTAATCATGGGATTGTAGTTGGTAGAGTATAGACTTTCCGGATCCGCTGTGAGATGGATCCCTAAGTATTTCAAGGATTTTATTTCCAGTCGAGTTTGGTAGGTCTCCTGTATCGGAGCTGTATCGGCCTCCGCTAGACCTACTGGTAGTGCACTGGACTTCTGAATGTTTGCTTTGTATCAAGATACCTTTGCGTATGCTTCTATTACATCCGGTAATGCCTTCATCGATTCTATTGGATTCGTAACAGTCAATAGGACATCGTCCGCATAGGCCAAAACTACGAACTCTCTGTCTCCTACTCTAACTCCTTTGATGTGCGGATGCTGGGGTATCGCTTGCAGCAGAGGCTCCATTGCCAACACAAACAGGAGGGGGGAGAGTGGACATCCCTGTCAGGTTCCGTTGGATAACTTAAATGGGGTCATTGGGGCTCCTGTTATCTGCACCTGTGCCCGTACATTATGATACATCGCTCTCGTTACTGTTATATATTCTTCTGGGAAGCCCAAATGTTTCAACACCGAGAACAGAAATTGCCACCTGACCCTTTCGAAGGCCTTTTCTGCATTGATGGAGACCACTAACGTGGGTGTCCCGGTGGCCACTTGTTTCCATATCAAATCTATATTCCTTCTGGTATTTTCAAACAGTTGCCTGCCCTGGATGAAACCGACCTGGTCTGCGTGTATGAGCGAGTTCAGTAGCGGGTTCAATCTGTCCGCTTGTATCCTCGCTAGGATCTTCAGATCATGATTAATTAGCGATATAGGTCTAGAATTTTCCAGTTGAAGTGGGTCCTTTTCTGGTGTTGGCAAAAGTACGATAGTACACAAAACAAATTAAGAATGTAGCGCTTATGTGTAAAGAAATTAATCACCTTTTAGAGTTTGGAGCAAAGTTTCACTGAAAAATCGGCAGGAAAAATATCTATAAAAGATAATCATACATAGTATAGATCACACTTATATACATTTATTATTAGTAAGTAGTATATAAACTCACAAACGGAGAGCTATGGACTTAGCTCTAGTTTGAATAGCCTCTGGGTCCATACAGGTGACCCACCCCTCCTCACGATATGTTTCTGAGGTCTGTGGATGAATAGAAATACACCCAATTGCGCAGTATAGTTTATAATATCTCTGAGAAATATATATGGTCTTTAAGTGGGTACTCACAAGTGTGGAGTCAAGATATATTGACTCAATTTCGTAGCGTTGTGCAGATTCGGGACTGCACTCCCCGTTCAATATAACGATATCGGGAACCAGGATCGTTAAAAGTAATAAAAGATTTTATTAATACACTCATATTTATAAATAAAAAAGCCTCAATGTGCTAAAAAATACCGGGACGCGTTTCGCCACTACAAACGTGGCTTCTTCAAACCGGATTGTGATAAAGCAATGATCCTGGAACTCCTCTTCTCAAGTTTAAATATCCAAAAAAACGGCGGGCAAATTCCAAAGCACATTAACCGTCACATGTCAGTACAACCCACAGGTACGACGTGTGCGGTCCATGCCTCCCTTTCATGCTGGTACCGGGAGCGGAGATAATTATATTCTTTCTTGTCATTTCAATTCGTCTTGGTTTTCCATACAGTACCTCATATTTGTTTTCAATAGCTGATATATATCTTAAAAAATTCGTCATTTTGTATTAAAGTTAAGTCTTTTAATGTCCACAAAAGTCCATCTGATGAAAAATGACATTTGTTCCCATATAGAAGGAGAAGAAAAAAAAAAAAAGGAAACAAAAAAACAGAAGGCAGCATCAGTTTTCTTATTATTACAAATGTTTTAGTCTCTTTTATCTGTAACATTTTGTTTCATAAATTATAATTCATAATGATACTGTAGCAGATACATTGTCAATTTTAGTTATCTATGGACATTTTACATTTCGATTTCGATTTAGTCAATAGAAATAAATAATAAAAACCCCAAATGAAAATGTAATGTTGTTGCATATCACCTTTCTTTTCTTATTATTTACATTAATCTTAAAAGTATATCGGAAGTAAACAAAATGATAGCACATCCTTATATTCTGTTCCTAAATGTCCGCATTAGTTTATAGTTCTTCATAGACAGCAGATTAATTGGCTAATTGCAAAGAGGGTTATAATGTTGCAGGTTAATTGATTCATTACGGAAACTGTTATGATTATTGTTGTTTAGACCCCGATCTACTAGTTTAGCAATCTAAACAGAATGATCTTCAAATCCTTTTTTGCATACATCGTTATAAATTGTTATAAATTAATTATCTAAACGGAATGATATTCAAATTTTTTTTGCATACATCGTTATAAGTAGTTATAAATTAGTTATAAATTAATTATTTTGTATATTATCTACCATGTTAGTATATGTCTATTATATCTTATTGAACCTATATAATTTCTTCTAAAACCCAATACATAATAAGTATAAAAAAAGTTACCGTATTAATTAATAAGTTAGAGATAACTCTAGCTTCATATTCTTCCCTACTAAGATCTTAAATAAATATTATACATAAATACTTTAAATAATAGCCTAGAAAATCCATATCAATTAAAATAGTGATAGTAGTAATTTTTTTTTTTTATTTGTAAAAAAAAAATAAAATAAAAAATGACTACTTTCACTATTTTAATTGATATGGATTTTCTAGGCTATTATTTAAAGTATTTATGTATAATATTTATTTAAGATCTTAGTAGGGAAGAATATGAAGCTAGAGTTATCTCTAACTTATTAATTAATACGGTAACTTTTTTTATACTTATTATGTATTGGGTTTTAGAAGAAATTATATAGGTTCAATAAGATATAATAGACATATACTAACATGGTAGATAATATACAAAATAATTAATTTATAACTAATTTATAACTACTTATAACGATGTATGCAAAAAAGATTTGAATATCATTCCGTTTAGATAATTAATTTATAACAATTTATAACGATGTATGCAAAAAAAGATTTGAAGATCATTCTGTTTAGATTGCTAAACTAGTAGATCGGGGTCTAAACAACAATAATCATAACAGTTTCCGTAATGAATCAATTAACCTGCAACATTATAACCCTCTTTGCAATTAGCCAATTAATCTGCTGTCTATGAAGAACTATAAACTAATGCGGACATTTAGGAACAGAATATAAGGATGTGCTATCATTTTGTTTACTTCCGATATAATTTTAAGATTAATGTAAATAATAAGAAAAGAAAGGAGATATGCAACAACACTACATTTTCATTTGGGGTTTTTATTATTTATTTCTAATAAATCGAAATGTAAAATGTCCATAGATAACTAAAATTGACAATGTATCTGCTACAGTATCATTATGAATTACAATTTATGAAACAAAATGTTACAGATAAAAGAGACTAAAACATTAGTAATAATAAGAAAACTGATGCTGCCTTCTGTTTTTTTGTTTCCTTTTTTTTTTTTCTTCTCCTTCTATATGGGAACAAATGTCATTTTTCGTCAGATGGACTTTTGTGGACATTAAAAGACTTAACTTTAATACAAAATGACGAATTTTTTAAGATATATATCAGCTATTGAAAACAAATATGAGGTACTGTATGGAAAACCAAGACGAATTGAAATGACAAGAAAGAATATAATTATCTCCGCTCCCGGTACCAGCATGAAAGGGAGGCATGGACCGCACACGTCGTACCTGTGGGTGGTACTGACGTGTGACGGTTAATGTGCTTTGGAATTTGTTTTAAATATTTTATTGTTTTCACAATATAAGTGCATATTGCGAACTGGTTCGTTATAAAGCCAGAGGTTGCCCACGCAGGGGCTTAAGCAGTAAGTTATAGCATTCATTAAGGTGAACGGTCGCCTACGTAGAGGCTTAAATGTTAGCACATAGGAATAGATGCAGATTATCGCCTGCGCAGAGGCGTAATGATCAGAACATATAGGCGTACTTGAACTTTGCAGGAATACATTTCTAAGCATTACAGCATAAAAGGTAACAACATCCTATAATGTGTCAATCTGAGGTAAACTGTAGCTGATCATGCAATAAACAATTAAACATTAAGATGCGCGTAGCTGATGGCCTTATGTGTAGTTAATAAATCACGTCATGTTTCGTGCCATTAAATAAGCGGTACTAAGTAACGCGGTGTTAAGTAGCTGTTAGCATTGTGTCATTGCCCTATCAACTGCGCCACAGGCACGCTGTGAAATGAATGTGCAACTATTATATCCTATGTACAAGGGCTTATGCAAGGGGAAACATTAGCCTGGTTAGCCCTAGCTAAACACATTTGAACTTTTAACATATAAGTCACTTCGCTGGAGGGGGCGTAATGGCGCCCGGTATGTTGAAGCCATCTGGTGTGAAATTGGCAGTCTTCTTCGCAGCTTTTATTCTGGTATGACCTTCCCATGGCTACCTCTGAATGATGCTGCACATGGTGGGTCAGCTGTACCCCCCCTGAGTCTCTCCGGGTTCCCCGGGTGTGACAGTGCCCTCCCTTTCCCACCCCAAGTCGTGTTTCCGCATCTTTAGGGGGCACAACCCCGCTGTGGGCACTCGGAGGCCGGAGATGTCCGGCGGCCTCCCCACCTTAGAGTCCACTGGGCTCCCGCCTCCTGCACCTCCCCAGCTTCAGCATGGCCTCCTTGGGGCCCCAGCCCTGACTTGCCACCTCCTCCTCCGGCTACTTACATGTTGCCGGCGCGTGCCCTCCGGCCACCGGTCCGCCGGCTGGCCCGCGCTTCTCAGCTCCACCGGGCTCACAGAGTTGGGGGTTGTTTCTCCCGGACCCCCACCAAATCCGGGGTTCAGGACCGGCTTTCCAGCGACTCGTCCGCCGCCCGGGGTGGTCCAGTAGTGAGCTCCGCCGTCCCGGGGGTCCCGGTATCCCAGCGCGGGATTTCTGCTGTGTGCGAGTCGTCCCGTAATGCTGTGCGGGTACTGTGTATCCGTCGGCCATTTTAGCTCCGTGTACAGGAGCGTCGTGTACCGGGCGTGCCTTCTCCTCCAGCCTCCGATGTTCCGACTTTGGGCCGGGATCACCCCCCCGGCCGGGTGGGGGGGGGAGCGGGGCCGGGCCAGGTCACCCTCGCCTTGCTTGCATGCCGTGGGTCCCGCTCTTGTAGCGTGGTTGAGGCCTCCGGGGTCACTGTGTGAGCCGGAGGTTCAATATGTGCCCTAGCGTTGCACTCCCCGGTTCCTCTCTGCCGGGTTACCTATCTGGTGTCGGTTTTCGGCATGGATCGTGAGTATTTTGAAGGTTTCATGCTGTTTTAGGCTTTTCTACGCCGGAGCCGGCGTGAGTTGCAGCCGTTCGGCTCGGCGGCCCGGCCCCGCCCCCTGCTTTGGAATTTGCCCGCCGTTTTTTTGGATATTTAAACTTGAGAAGAGGAGTTCCAGGATCATTGCTTTATCACAATCCAGTTTGAAGAAGCCACGTTTGTAGTGGCGAAACGCGTCCCGGTATTTTTTAGCACATTGAGGCTTTTTTATTTATATATATGAGTGTATTAATAAAATCTTTTATTACTTTTAACGATCCTGGTTCCCGATATCGTTATATTGAACGGGAAGTGCAGTCCCGAATCTGCACAACGCTACGAAATTGAGTCAATATATCTTGACTCCACACTTGTGAGTACCCACTTAAAGACCATATATATTTCTCAGAGATATTATAAACTATACTGCGCAATTGGGTGTATTTCTATTCATCCACAGACCTCAGAAACATATCGTGAGGAGGGGTGGGTCACCTGTATGGACCCAGAGGCTATTCAAACTAGAGCTAAGTCCATAGCTCTCCGTTTGTGAGTTTATATACTACTTACTAATAATAAATGTATATAAGTGTGATCTATACTATGTATGATTATCTTTTCTAGATATTTTTCCTGCCGATTTTTCAGTGAAACTTTGCTCCAAACTCTAAAAGGTGATTCATTTCTTTACACATAAGCGCTACATTCTTAATTTGTTTTGTGTGTTAAGTCGAATAGGAATCTCTGAATGTTTAGCAGCTATTCACTATTATAAGATATATTTGTATTTAATATTTTCTTTTTTGTACAAGCCCTGGTTCCATTATCTAAAAGTACGATAGTGGCTAGGGACATATCAGGGTCCAGTTGTCCTCCCCGCCTTATGTTGTCTAACAGTCGCACTGGATGAGGTGTAAGCTCCTCCCTGAAGGTTTTGTAATATGCTCCATCAAATCCGTCTGGCCCGGGTGCTCTGTTCCCTTTCAAGCTCGATATGGCTTTATCTACTTCATCTTCGTCGATGTCCGCTGCCAGACCACTTACCGCCTCTCTGCTCAGTTTGGTCAACCCTAGGTTATCTAGGTATTTGAGGATATGTTCCTCCTCTTGCCCCTCATGAAAATGTCCGTCAGGTGTGTGATTGTACAACCGTTTATAAAAATCTTCGAATACCCTAGCTATCTCAGTCAGCTTCGATTTTGTCTTGCCATCTGAATGTCTGATGGCTGTGATGTGAGACCGTTCATGCCTGGGTCGTAGCATCCTGGCAAGGAGAGTGTCCATTTTGTTAGCCTTTTCAAAAAATGTCCATTTCGCGTATCAGACTTCTTGTTTTCTCTACTTTCGTTACTTATGAGCGTTGCCCCTTACCCTCAACCCTCGGCATGTCCCAGGGGATAATGCAATTTATCATGCTGCCATTTCTATAGGGTATTATTCATGTGTATTGGGGGCTGTCTGGGGTGGTATACTCTACTGTATTCCTCATCTTAACATGTCTAAACTAAGTACCTATCTCTTATTAGCAATATGATATAGCCATGTTTGTTTAGCCTATTTACTTCATACTTTAAAAATGTGCAGAGTTATAGCATGCCATGTCCAGATTTAACATTTTGTGTTTCACACTTGTTGCTGTGTCGTGGCGCTGCAAGTTTAAATGTATATCACTATCTGCACAACAAAAATAAAGAATTATAAAAAAAATTTTTTTTAACTAACTTGATGGGCAAGTGGGATATATAGCAAAGACATAGGAATGTTGTTCGGACTAGATAAGTGTGGGCGGTTGATAGGAAAAAAAGGGAAGATGATCAGGAAAGGAGGAGTTCAATTACCACAAAAGCCAAATAGAAGATATAAAGAACAGCTACAAGTACCAGAGTGCACCACAACACATGGCAACAATGAGGAAGATGCAAGAAGGATAGCAACATCCAAGTACCTCCAGAGAGTCAGACAGATCCTGAAATCCCAGCTCAATGGCAAGAACAAGATCCAAGTCATCAACACATATGCCTACCATTTATCAGGTACCCAGCTGGGATTATAACCTGGCTAAGAGAAAAACTGGTCACCATGGATGTCAAGACCCAGAAATTACTCACTATGAAATCAAGCACTCAGTACCCAGCTGGGATTATAACCTGGCTAAGAGAAAAACTGGTCACCATGGATGTCAAGACCCAGAAATTACTCACTATGAAATCAAGCACTCATAGACTGTAAGCCTGATGAGTGTCAATATATTTTCCTTATGATAGTTATTTAGCATAATTTTTTTTATTTTTTTTATTATTTCCAGCTTTTTTGCAGCTTTGGGAGACTGCCTGACAGTCCAGGCAGTTCCTCTGCAGGCAGTTCAATTTACTGCCAATCTGGCCATGTGATCGCAATATCATCGCAATCACATGGCCTGGAAGGACCGGATTGGCTGCTGGGGGACCGCCTGAGTTGTCAATCGTGATTCCCGGATAGGTGAGTATTTGTACCCGGGGTGGCTTCAAACCATTATGGTGTCCTAACATAGCAGACACACAAGGTGAAAAAATATAGAAGACATAGAAGGTGAAAAAATTCAATTAATCTGATTTAATTCGAGAAATCTGTTCATAAGGCATTTTGGTTTGGATGAATGATATGTGATTGGATGGGTGAATGACACTAGTGTGATAAATGATTGGGTAGTACACGGCAGGGCCACCATCAGGGGGTGACAACCATATAGCGATGATTGCTATACATATGTGCAGCCGCGGGCCCCCGGCTCCCTGTACTTGCAGAGGGGACCCAGCAAACTGCAGCTGTACTTTATAGCTCTTCCCTCTCTCTAACTCCAGCGAGATGTGCGGCCGTCAGAGCGTTGCCACGGGTTACCATGGCAACGCTCTGCGCGGCACGCACACCACGCTCGCGGGAGTTAGAGAGAGGGAAGAGCTGTAAAGTACAGCTGCAGTCTGCTGGGCCCTCTCTGCAAATACGGGGAGCCGGGGGGCCCCACAATGCCACTGGACCACCAGGGATCATGGAATCTTCCCCCTCCCTGGACCAGGTAAGAAGCAGGGAGGGGGGAATAACGTATTACATTTACATTATTACATTACATGCATACACTAGTAAACACACACACACACTGCATTAATTACACTAACACACACTCTGCATTCATTACACTAACACACACTCTGCATTCATTACACTGACACACACTCTGCATCCACTACACTGACACATACTCTACATCCACTACACTGACACATACTCTGGGGGGCGGGCCCAGACCTTGTGCTTTGTCAGGGGCCCCAAAATTTCTGGTGGTGGCCCTGGTACACGGACATAAGTAGGTATTACAATATGTTATAGGGTTATAGGTTAATTATATATAATTATATAGTGCTAAAAATAATTCCGCAGCACTTTACAATTGTAAAATATGGATAGTTGACAACAAGTAGTTGACATACAAAATATTAACAGATACAAGAAGTGATAAAAGCCCTTCTCAAACGACCTTACAATTTATGCTGTGGTTGTACTAACATGGCAAAGATGGCCAAAATGTAGATGCCCATCTGTCATACAATGCAAAATACAATGCTTTGCCAGCTGAGGATCTACTATTTGCCCACCCTTACTGAGTTGTATTTAGCACTGAGCAGTGTTTGTGTTTGAATGCAAGCATGTTTTTGTATGGAGTATGTATGTGTGAATGTAGACGTGTGTTTTAATGTAGGGTTGCCGTTTGAATGCATGGGTGTGTTTGTATGTAGTGTTGGTGTTTGAATGCTGAGATAAACATTTACACTGCCACACATAAACATATACACACTCTGACATACATGCAGAGACACACTAACACAGATGCATATACACAAACACAGATAAAAACATTGGCAGACACACTAACAGACATTTAGATACACTGACACACATGCAGATGCACAGACACAGATGCACACATTCAGATACACAGATACGCACACTAACACACAATCAGACACAAACACAGGATATACAGATACAAAGAAACACACACTAACACAGATACAGAAACACACTGTTCAAAATATAAACTTTTTTAGCCACCCTACATTTTTATACCTTATTGGGTGCAGGAGGGTAGATTCCTTGGAGTCCAGTATGCTGGCTGAGATGATTTCGAGTCACTCTCCCACCTCCTCTCTAAGTGGAAGTGACTAGCTCTCACTTCCTCCCAGTGCTCCATCATTGAAGGGGCCCGGTCACATTGTTAGAACATTGTAGCACACGACCAGGCCCCTGAAATCAAAAGCCCATTGGGTGGCCCCCAGGATATGGGCCACCTGACTGGCCCCCTCAGTGTGCGGGCCCCGGTGCTGCTATATGGCAGTATTTCCGCTGCTGAATCTATGAGGAAATGGTGTAGAAAGATAAGAGGAATAACAGCCTATCAGAGGAAGTAGGGATTGATGGCTTAGAAGCCCATATCAAAATATGCCACTTACATTGCTGTGTGGAAAATATATACAGTGGAAGGAAGGAGAGGGAGCCGGGCTATGGAGGCAAAGGAAATGAGAAGGGCAATCGATATGGGTGTCACCCAGGAAGATGGTAGGATTTCTTAAAGATTTGTGTTTTCAGTGACTCCTTAAAGGACTGGAGGATAGGGGAGAGTCTGATAACACAGGGTAGGGAATTATATGAGCAACCCCTGGAGATTCTACAGTAGAGACATGATGAGTACATGAACAAGTGCATTAGTTGTATCTTGAATTAGAAAAGGGTAAAAAAATTTAAGGTGAAAGTCACAAAATTTGAAGACCTACTTGATGTGAGGAGAAAAAGATGTAATGAGTCAAAGGTAGCTCCAAGGCAGCAAGCTAGAGAAGATAGGCTTATAGATGACCCATTGACATGCAGGGAGATGAATGGACATGGACTATGTAATGGAGGAAAGATGAGGAGTTCAGTTTTTCAAAGATTAAGTTTTAGAAAACAGGAAGACATCCAATTACAGACGGAAGAAAGGCAGTTTGTGATGTGTTTCAGGAGGGTAGGAGAGAGGTCAGGGTAGAAAGGATATTTATTGAAATCCAAAGGAATTAATATTGTTACCAAAATAGGTACTATAAATAGCGAATAAAACAGAGCACAGGGAAACCACAACTGAGACAGACAGTGTGGAGGTTGCACCTGAGAAGAAGACATTAAATGAGAGTTTAGAAAGAAAGGATGATGTAACGGCCACCCTACTAGTGGAGGGGTGTAAAGTTGGATTCTTTATGCACCAACTTACTGATAAAGCACTTGAGTGGGCAAATCCTATTTGGGAGGCTAATGGACCTATGGTGCATAATTTCGATAGCTTCCTTATGGCTTTTCGTAGAACCTTTGACACAACTAAAAGGTCAAAGAATGCCGCCAGGGCATTAATGAGAATTAAACAGGGTTCTAGGTCTGTTGCTGATTATGCTATTCAGTTTCGTACCCTTGCTTCGCAGGTAGATTGAACCAACAATGGGCTAACTACAGCATTCATGGAAGGACTATCTGATACTATATTGGATGAGGTAGCAGCTAGGGATCTTCCTATCCCATTAGAGGACCTTATCGACTACCTCATTGATATAGACAATAGGATTCGTGACAGACTCTATACTAAGAATAGGAATAGACGTTTTGTTACATTAAATACTCCTAGAGTTGCTAATCCTGAGAGTTTCAAGGTATCAGAGGAGGAACCATAGAAACATAGAATGTGACGGCAGATAAGAACCATTCAGCCCATCTAGTCTGCCCAATTTTCGAAATACTTTCATTAGTCCCTAGTCTTATCTTATAGTTAGGATAGCCTTATGCCTATCCCACGCATGCTTAAACTCCTTTACTGTGTTAACCTCTACCACTTCAGCTGGAAGGCTATTCCATGCATCCACTACCCTCCCAATAGAAACATAGAATGAACCCTTGCAATTAGGGGTTGCCAAACTCTCTGATGCCGAAAAATTGTATAGGAGAAAGGAGGGACTTTGCCTATACTGTGGTAAGAAGGGTCATATGCTAAAAGAATGTCCCGTGCTTCCGGAAAACTATCGCACCTAAGGTCATATAGGGGACTGGCCTTGGGTGTGATATCTAAGTCCCCAAATTGGCCTCTTAATCGACTACTTCTCCCTGTTTCTCTGCATCTGGAGAATAATTGCATAGCAAGAAACATACTAGCCCTGGTTGATTCCGGGGCAGCTGAGAATTTCATAGACTCTAGATTTGTTAGGAAAAACAAAATACCCATTATAGAGAAAAAGACACCCATGGCCGTTGAGGCCATAGATTGTAGACCATTATGCTCCCCAGTTATCACACATGAAACTGAACCGTTGCATATGTATACAGGGATGTTACACTCAGAAACCATTCAGTTTCAGGTCATCACCTCTCCTTCCTCTCATATTGTGTTAGGGTACCCATGGTTACGTTCTCACAATCCCAATTTTGACTGGGAGTCAGGATAAATAGTATCTTGGAGTGACACCTGCCAAGAGTATAATTAAAATCACCCCTTTGAATTCTATTAATGTTCCTACTCCTCCTCCTTTGTCTACTGTTATACCTCCTCAGTACATGTGTCTTAAGTCTGTCTTCGATAAAAGGGAGGCTGAAAAGTTACCGCCTCATAGACCCTACGATTGTGCTATTGATATATTGCCTGGCACTATACCTCCCAAGGGCAGGGTGTATCCTTTGTCTCCGCAAGAAAATCGTGTCATGGAGGAATATATTAAAGAATCTCTACAAAAGGGATTTATAAGAAGATCCTCTTCTCCGGCAGGGTTCATCTTTGTGTCGAAGAAGGAGGGCGATTTAAGACCTTGTATTGATTATAGGGGCCTAAATAAAATCACTATAAAAAATGCTTACCCTATACCATTAATCACGGAATTATTCGACAGGCTTAAACAAGCTACTGTGTTAACTAAATTGGACCTTAGAGGTGCATACAATCTCATACGTATAAAAAAAGGGCCATGAGTGGAAAACTGCATTCAATACTAGGAGTGGTCATTATGAGTATACTGTGATGCCATTCGGTCTTTGTAACGCCCCAGCAGTGTTTCAAGAATTTATTAATAACGTCTTACGAGAGTTCATTCACTCATTTGTGATAGAGTACTTGGACGACATATTAATATATTCAACAGATTTACATACTCATCACATGCATGTTAAAACAGTCTTGAAAACCCTTCTTGTTAATGGTCTTTATTGTAAACTAGAAAAATGTTTATTTGACCAATCCGAAGTACAGTTTTTAGGTTATGTAATTTCTGCTAAAGGTTTTCGTATGGATCCCCAGAAGCTTTCTGCTGTCGTGGAATGGCCTTTACCTCAGGGTCTGAAAGCCATTCAGCGTTTTCTTGGGTTTTCTAACTATTATAGACGCTTTATTAAAGGATTTTCTTCTATTGTAGCGCCTATAACACGCATGACTAAAAAGGATGGCAATACTTGTGTCTGGTCCCCAGAGGCGCTAGGCCTTTGAATTTCTTAAAACCGCGTTTGCCTCTGCTCCTATTTTACAGCATCCTGTCCCTTCTTTGCCTTATATTCTTGAAGTTGATGCTTCGGATACTGGCGTAGGTGCTGTCTTATCTCAAAGAGAATCACCTGATAAGCCATTACATCCTTGTGGCTTCTTTTCCAAACAGATGTCCAAAGCCGAAAAGAACTATGACATAGGCAATCAAGAACTCCTTGCTATTGTTTTAGCACTCAAGGAGTGGAGACATCTTTTAGAAGGTACTAAGGACCCCATCCTCATTTTTACGGATCACAAAAACCTTTCCTACCTTAGTGAAGCCAAAATATTGTCTTCTAGGCAGGCCAGGTGGTCACTGTTCTAATATCATTTCAATTATATCATCACCTACAGACCAGGTGATCGTAACACTAAAGCTGACGCTCTGTCTAGACAATTCGAAACTACCAACAAACAAGAGTTTGATAATACCCATGTCATTCCCCCGGACAGAATAATAGCTACTACAGTTCTATATATTTCTTCTTCATTCTTACAAGTTATACAGGCTAAACAAAACATGGCACCCAGTGAGAAACCTACTTATAAACTGTTTGTTGATGTTCCCGAAAGACGGGACATTATGTCGTTATATCATGACGCCAAAACTGCTGGACATCCTGGTGTTACTAAAACCTTAAAAGCAGTTTCTAGATATTTTTGGTGGGCTTCCTTACGCAAGGATATCACCGATTACGTTCGGGCATGTACTACTTGTGCCTGTATGAAGTCTTCTCATAGAGTTCCTTGTGGGTTGTTGCACCCGTTGCCCATACCCGAGAGGCCTTGGTCCAATCTATCCATGGATTTCATTGTTGAATTGCCTCCTTCGAATGGCAAAACAGTCATCCTGTTTCTAAGATGGCTCATTTTGTGTCTCTTGTCAAATTGCCCTCATCCAAGGAACTTGCTTCTATCTTCGCCAGGGAGGTGTTTCGTTTGCATGGCATTCCTGCCTTCATGTGTCTTCTATGAAGTTGGCTCCCCGTTTTATAGGTCCTTTCCGTATTTTGCATAGAGTTAATCCTGTTTCATATGCCTTGGATCTTCCTAAGAACCTGCGTCAATTTATTCTGGAGAGCTTTTTGTTCAGAAATGGGTATTTCTCTCTTGTTTTCTTCTGCTTACCACCCCCAGTCTAATGGAGATGCTGAACGTGCTAACCAGTCCCTAGAGCAGTATCGTTATTGTTTCGTATCCCACCATCAGAACAATTGGGCTGACCTGCTTCCTTGGGCTGAATTTGCTCGTAATAACGCTGCCCATGAATCTTCCGGTAAAAGCCCTTTTTACGTTGTTTATGGCTGGCATCCTGTTGTTCTTCCAGCTGCATTCTCCTTACAGGGCATGCCAGCTCTGGATGAACATTTGGCTGGTTTACGTACTACTTAGGAGCAGGTTCAGCGTTCTTTGGTGGACTCCGCTGCTCGCCAAAAGGTTCAAGCTGACAAACATCACAGGGGGGCTCCGTCCTATGTCGTCGGGGACAGGGTTTGGCTTTCCACTCGCAATATCCGCCTTCATGTACCTTCTATGAAGTTGGCCCCCTGTTTTATAGGTCCTTTCCGTATTTTGCATAGAGTTAATCCTGTTTCATATGCCTTGGATCTTCCTAAGAACCTGCGTATTCCTAACATCTTTCACACCTCCTTGTTAAAGCCCCTCCTGTGTAACCGCTATACCCAGCATGTTCCTCATCCTCCTCCTGTTTCTGTGGAGGGTCATGAGGAATTCAAAGTAGCTGCTGTACTTGACTCTCGTTTTCTCAGGAGTCGACTCCAGTACCTGGTGCATTGGAAGGGTTATGGGCCTGAGGAACGCAGTTGGCTTCCCGCTGACGCTGTTCATGCTCCTCGCCTTGTGCGTTCCTTCCATTCTCATTTTCCTTCCAGGCCTGGTCCTCCCCGCCCGGTGGGCATGTCTTCAGGGGTGGCACTGTAGCGGTACTTACCTTACCCAGGGTCCGAGGTCCTCTCTTCCTGCCGCTTGCGGCTCTCGAATGAAGGCGGGCACGGACCGCGAGATGCGGTCACGTGTCCCGCCTAGCTCTAAGAGCGTGCCGCGCGTCTCGGGCACGCTCTTAAAGGAGCAGTGGGAGCCAAAAAATAAAAAGTGCTCCCATTGGCCCCTGTCATCCCACATTCCCCAGACACTCACATTTTGGGGGTGTGGATATGACAGGGGCCACTCAATGTAAAGTTTAGGGTATTTATACTTACCTCTCCCTTAACTCCCTGCCCTATCGTGGTTTCTGTTTCAGTTCCCTTTAGCGCTTGTTGTGTTCAGTTGTGATTTTCGTGCTTGACCTTGGCTTTGTATCTGACTCCGTTTATCTCTCTATCCCTGTTTTGTCTTGTTTGCCGGCTTACTGACTACTGTGTACCAGACCTTGGCTAGTTTTTGTTCTCGCAGTCTCTTTGTTCCCGTGACCTCGGCTTGTTCTTGACTCTGTCTATTCTCTGCTTTACGGCGAGTCCGGCCATTCTAAGGTCCAGTAAGTTGTATCTGCTCTATCTGTCGATTGTTGGACTAAGTCTTGCGTGTATTGGTAAACTACCGTGACAAGGGGTTTCCGCTGCCAGACATGTCCTTTCCCCCTAGAGTAGAGAGCGCTGATGCATTCCCAACCATCAATCCAAGCAGTTAAGAGTAGGTATAGCTGTGAAACTCTTATAAGAGCTAGTGCTTATAGCTATAGCAGGTCCCTACAAACACGAGGTGAGGCTCTATGTTGAAGGTAAAGATGGTCTGGTTTAATGGAGCCATACTTGCCTTTTTTGCAAGGGTGACACCCACATGGGCCTTGTTGGGGACTGTGACACAAACTTATACACCAATAATAACAGTGATACAATATAAGGCACTCCTACACATGGCATACAATCCCCCTCCCCCTCTGCCTGGGAGATAATTGAGTCAGATACTGTATTAACTCAATTATCTCCAGGCAGAAAAAAAACACATATTTTTATAAAACCCCAAAAGTACCCCAAAACACATAAAATCCCCACAATTGTTACATCCCCTGATAGCCCTGATATGGGTGACCAACATTTCAAAAAATCACACAGATCAGTTCAGGGGTTCAGGAATTTTATGGAAATCACATTTTGACCGTCCACATGAATGGTCTCATGCCCAAAACAGTTCCAGAGAATAAGGCTGTGCGGTCGGTTTACTTCGCAAATTCGAAGTAAAACACAAATTATTGAAAATACAGCTTCAGAAGTAGTTTTAGGTTATTTCCCTCATTCAGGAGTTTATTTTCACCGAACGCCGTTTGACTCCGTTCGAATAGTCGAACATCCATGGAAGGTGAATGTTTAACGGTGTTCGCGCCATTGAGTGTCCGATTTAAGTTCCATACACTTGATGACCAAATACCGTTCATTGTGCTCGCGGCTTAAGATGGCCGCCGCCACGTGTTCAAATGTCAAATGGCGATCCCTTAGACTCAATTCGGACGGTTTTGACTGTTCGGAAGTTCGAAGTGTACTGAATACATAATGTTAATAGGTAGCACACTTCTGGTACAGGTGGTTTGTTCGGAAGGGAATGACAGGGAGAAACAAAATAAAGGGGAATGCAATGTCCTGAGCACATAGTTGAATGCAGAAAAAGGCAATGGTAATCCATGGTTATAGTGAGATTCAAAAATCACCCATATCGGACCAGGGGTTCGGAAGTTAGGTGGAAGTGTTCATTTGACCGACCGCACACGAGGCAGTAGCCGAAATCAGTTCCATATATTTTGGCCTTGCGGTCGGTCTTTGTTCGTGGGTTAAAAGATACGAAAATCCTTCCCATCCATGGCTATACTGATGTTCGGATGAATCCCCTTGTTCGTGGGATTCATTTAACCGAACGGCAGGCTATTCATGTATTTGGTTCGGCAATTATGGAACTTTGGAGGTCTTAGCAGTGTTCGCGTAGTCGAGTGTCCGATTTGGGTTCCAGACACTCAACGACTAAATATCTCTGGGCATTCTTATGGCAAGATGGCCGCTGCAACGTGTTCGTATGCCGGACAGCGGCCACCCAGGGAACACACACAGAGCATTTGTCTACTTGCTAATAAGACTGTGGTTAGCATCGATTAGGGGGGTAACCTAGAGGCACACTTCTCTATGCGGTGGTCTGATTGTTCGGTAGTTTGTTCGTATGCCGAATGGAGTGGTTTTACCGAATAATCAGCCGAATGCTTCATACAATACAGAAATATATAAAATACATGAAACGAAAACGACCTTATTAGTAAGAATATTTAAAGACAGCCCAACAAAATCCGCTACACCTTAAATTGGTACAGGCCAATCGGGGTGACAAAGGCTGACTTGGGGATAGCCTCCTCGGCCAGGGGAATCTGCCAGTAACCTTTTCAGAGATCTATGGTGGTCAGATATTTTCCCCTCGCGATATGAACTAATAATTCCCAGGGCATCAGATAGGCGTCTGTCACAGTCCAATCGTTTAGTCTCTGGTAGTCCACGCAGAACCGGGTGGTTCCATCTTTCTTGGGTATGAGGACAACAGGGGAGGCCCACAGACTGTCCGAGGGTTCTATAAACCCTAGTTTCAGCATCTCCTGTATTTCTCCCCGCAATTCCTCTCTAACAGTCTCAGGAAAATGGTAAGGGAATATGGTCCAGGGGTTTCTACCCTATGCGTGGCTAATGGTGGACCTGAACTCTTTCTCTGGTTGATAACCGGTCCCTTAGCTTTACCTGGCTAAGGAGGTCCGTTTTTGGAGTTCCTTTCTAACAGGTCAGGCAAGGGATTGTCAGGGTCGTCAGTGGCTGGGGCACATACGGCCGCAATATCTTCCTGCCTTTCTTGGTTTTCCTTCAACGCGTTAACGTGGAATGACCGAAAAATCTCCTCGTCGCACAGCTGGCAATTATGTAAGTGGTGTCACATAATTGTTCCACCATCTTATCAGGGCTCTGCCATGCTGCCTGTAACTTTTCCTGTCTAGTTGGTTTCAAAACTAGGACCTTTTGGCCCACCTGGAATGTACGCTGGTGGGCATCCTGATTGTACCAAACTTTCTGTCGCACCTGGGCCACCTGGAGGTTTGCCTTTGCCATCTGGGCCAACTGCTCCATACGGTCCCGAAGTTCCAGTACATATGGCAAGATGGGAGTTCCCTCATGTTATACTCCCCCCTCCCAGTGTTCCCGAATGAGATTTATGGGGCCTCGCATCCCTTCTCCCATACAGCAACTCAAAGGGGGAGAACCCAGTGGATTCCTGTGGTACCTCTCGATAAGCGAACAAAAGGTGCGTCAGGAATCTCTCCCAGTCTCTGTATTTGTCAGTAAAGGTCCTCAGCATTTGCTTGACCACTGACTTCCCCCTCTTTACTTTAAGTAAATTGTGTCCGAATTTCTTTCGGGAACCACACCCGAGAGAAAATGCCAACCAGGGCGCTAGCTACCGTGTCTGCCTGAATATTTGAAAGGGCAATAGTCTCTGGATAGCGGGTGGCATAGTCCACCACGGTAAGAATATATATTCTATCAGATGGGCTGGGTTTTGATAGTGGACCTACCAGGTTCACTGCTACTCGACTGAACGGCTCGTTGATGATGGGCATGGAGGATAGATGGGCTTTAGGGTGGTCTCCTCTTTTCCCTACTCGTTGACATACGTCACAGGTCCTACAATATTGTCGCACATATCCCGAGAATCCTGGCCAAAAGAATCTCTGGAACACTCGGTGGGATGTGCGGTGGATTCCTAAGTGCTCGGCCAGAGGTATGTCGTGTCCAATCCTCAAAAGTTCCAACCAATATTTCCAGGGGACAACCAGTTGTCGCTTCTGGGATAAGGCAGCTCCAGCTTTGTCGGTCTCTGTTATCCTATATAGCTTCTCTTGTTCCCAGATAAACTTCTCCCCATCCAGTCCTACTTGCCCAGTTTCTGTTTTGGCCCTATGCTGGTGTAGGGACAGGTCCTCTCTGGTCTCCCTCCCAAACTCCACTGGGGTGTCCCAGTCTACGTTCCATAGTCGTAGTCAGGGGTAATGGTCAGACCGGTGTACTGGCTTCAGCAGCTTGGGCTTGTAGGCGAGTTGTAACTGGGTTGGCTTCTTATAAATTCAAATCAATTTATAACTTTTTTAACTTTTGATATGCGTTTTTCTGGAATTTTTTTGTTGTTATTGTGTCTCTCACTGTTAAAATACACCTACCATTAAAATTATAGACTGATCATTTCTTTGTCAGTGGGCAAACATTCAAAATATGTCGCCACCCAAATATGGCAGACACAGTATTAGCAGCACAGTGACGTAATTATACCCTGCCAATGTGTGCTGTGGTCTTGCTTGCGGCAACTAGTGATATGTTGGAATTTCCCACCATGCTTGGGGTGGGCTGGAGGGACTTTACCAGTATAGCGGAGGCCTAATGGGTACCGTGAGCATAGCCAAGAAGTGCACTAGCCTTTTACTCACGTACACCTATATTGCAGTTGCCTATCATGACGGCTATATTTTGAACGCCCAGGAATTTGAGTCCGGCATTAATTCCAATTTAGAACGTTCTGCTGCCTGCAACATCCTTCAGCATGACCGGTTTGGCAGTGGGTCAGTAATGGTGTGGGGTGGCATTTCGTTGGGGGGACTGCACAGCCCTCCATGTGCTCGCAAGAGGTAGCCTGACTGCCATTAGGTACCGAGATGAGATCCTCAGATCCCTTGTGAGACCATATGCTGGTGAGGTTGGCCCTGGGTTCCTCCTAATGCAAGACAATGCTAGACCTCATGTGGCTGGAGTGTGTCAGCAGTTCCTGCAAGACGAAGGCATTGATGCTATGGACTGGCCCGCCCGTTCCCCAGACCTGAATCCAATTGAGCACATCTGGGACATCAGATCTTGCTCCATCCACCAATGTCACGTTGCACCACAGACTGTCCAGGAGTTGGCAGATGCTTTAGTCCAGGTCTGGGAGGAGATCCCTCAGGAGACCATCCCCCACCTCATCAAGAGCATGCACAGGCATTGTAGGGAGGTCATACATGCACGTGGAGTCCTCACACACTACTAAGCCTCATTTTGACTTGTTTTAAGGACATTACATCAAAGTTGGATCAGCCTGTAGTGTTTTTCCACTTTAATTTTGAGTGTGACTCCAAATGCAGACCTCCATTTTTTTATTTTTGTGTGATTTTGTTGTCAGCACATTCAACTATATACAGGGAGTGCAGAATTATTAGGCAAGTTGTATTTTTGAGGATTAATTTTATTATTGAACAACAACCATGTTCTCAATGAACCCAAAAAACTCATTAATATCAAAACTGAATATTTTTGGAAGTAGTTTTTAGTTTTAGCTATGTTAGGGGGATATCTGTGTGTGCAGGTGACTATTACTGTGCATAATTATTAGGCAACTTAACAAAAAACAAATATATACCCATTTCAATTATTTATTATTACCAGTGAAACCAATATAACATCTCAACATTCACAAATATACATTTCTGACATTCAAAAACAAAACAAAAACAAATCAGTGACCAATATAGCCACCTTTCTTTGCAAGGACACTCAAAAGCCTGCCATCCATGGATTCTGTCAGTGTTTTGATCTGTTCACCATCAACATTGCGTGCAGCAGCAACCACAGCCTCCCAGACACTGTTCAGAGAGGTGTACTGTTTTCCCTCCTTGTAAATCTCACATTTGATGATGGACCACAGGTTCTCAATGGGGTTCAGATCAGGTGAACAAGGAGGCCATGTCATTAGATTTTCTTCTTTTATACCCTTTCTTGCCAGCCACGCTGTGGAGTACTTGGACGCGTGTGATGGAGCATTGTCCTGCATGAAAATCATGTTTTTCTTGAAGGATGCAGACTTCTTCCTGTACCACTGCTTGAAGAAGGTGTCTTCCAGGAACTGGCAGTAGGACTGGGAGTTGAGCTTGACTCCATCCTCAACCCGAAAAGGCCCCACAAGCTCATCTTTGATGATACCAGCCCAAACCAGTACTCCACCTCCACCTTGCTGGCGTCTGAGTCGGACTGGAGCTCTCTGCCCTTTACCAATCCAGCCACGGGCCCATCCATCTGGCCCATCAAGACTCACTCTCATTTCATCAGTCCATAAAACCTTAGAAAAATCAGTCTTGAGATATTTCTTGGCCCAGTCTTGACGTTTCAGCTTGTGTGTCTTGTTCAGTGGTGGTCGTCTTTCAGCCTTTCTTACCTTGGCCATGTCTCTGAGTATTGCACACCTTGTGCTTTTGGGCACTCCAGTGATGTTGCAGCTCTGAAATATGGCCAAACTGGTGGCAAGTGGCATCGTGGCAGCTGCACGCTTGACTTTTCTCAGTTCATGGGCAGTTATTTTGCGCCTTGGTTTTTCCACACGCTTCTTGCGACCCTGTTGACTATTTTGAATGAAACGCTTGATTGTTCGATGATCACGCTTCAGAAGCTTTGCAATTTTAAGAGTGCTGCATCCCTCTGCAAGATATCTCACTATTTTTGACTTTTCTGAGCCTGTCAAGTCCTTCTTTTGACCCATTTTGCCAAAGGAAAGGAAGTTGCCTAATAATTATGCACACCTGATATAGGGTGTTGATGTCATTAGACTACACCCCTTCTCATTACAGAGATGCACATCACCTAATATGCTTAATTGGTAGTAGGCTTTCGAGCCTATACAGCTTGGAGTAAGACAACATGCATAAAGAGGATGATGTGGTCAAAATACTCATTTGCCTAATAATTCTGCACTCCCTGTAAAGAACAAAGTATTTCAGAAGAATATTTAATTCATTCAGATCTAGGATGTGTTCTTTGTGTGTTCCCTTTCTCTGGAACATATCCACTACTCTGTCCTACATTAAAATCAGATATGTGGAATAACTAGTGAGATCAACTTTCTACAGGGCGCAAGACAAAACAACAAAAAACAAGGACAGTACAGATGAAGGATAGATCCACAATAAAAGACAGGGACGGAACAGACAGAGGATACACTACACAGAACATAAATGAACAATTATTGCACATTACCTATATCCTTCGTGGAATCACAAATGCACAACACGGATTTAGTTCATGACGTGCAACACTATATATGGACACACTGTACGTTAGCCGGTAACCTGGCTTCTGGAAACCATGAGAACGCTGAAAAAACTGAGCTGCATAAGGCAGGTTGCACCAACGTAAACTCAGCCAACTAATGCACATCTCCCCTCACCACAAACTTTCTGCATAATAAAATATGCACGCACAATACACTAGACCAGGGGTAGGTAACCTATGGCATGTGTGGTATCTTTGCACGGCACTCAAGGCTGCTAGAGCCAGATAGGCCTCTCTGGCCTATCAGAAGTCCTTGTGGAACTTCAGATATCTGCTAATGAGAAAAGGTGGTGAGGAACAATCCTCAATTTATGTATTGCAGCATGTAGAGGAAGTGATCTCAGATCACTTCCTCCCAGCACTTGTAAATGGGAATCCCCACTGGAGTAGAGCAGGCCTCAGCAACTATTGCAGTTCCTGCCGTTGACCTGGCCAGCACGGTCCCCACTGGACCCCAGGGAAGCCATCCACATTGCTAAATATACACAGAGATGCAGAATAACCCTCCCCTCATACAAATAATATGAACAGCTCACACACAAACACACACAGTCCGCACAAACACAACACCACTAACAATCTAAACACACACACACACACACAGCTCCACAAGCAGCCTGTCACATGCAATACCCTAAGCAGCCCCACACATTTACACCCTACCAAGCACACAATGTGACATGTCCATCAACACTCAATTGTACAAGCAGCTCCCATGCACAGCCGACATTCATAGGTATTATACACAATACCACAAACTACTCATGAACATATACAATATAACAGCTCATATAGGCACAAATACAATGATACAAAGCACCTGCAATATAAAAATGGTATTAAAGAAATGCATTTTCCTAGACCTTGTACATTGTTTGTGTGGTGAATTAAAAAAAATAAACAGTTGTGTATACTACTTGTCGACTAATTGTTGTACACATAACTACTTATGTCTCTATGCGTATATTACCATTTAACCATGTTGTCATTATCTGCTGTTACCTGCATGTCAATAAAAATTGCCAAATTAAGAAAGCACTGCCGAAGTGCTCAGTATAATAATTGTCCTGTCTGCCACGGACTATTCCATATCTCCACTCACTATTCTAGCACAAAAGCATCAGTCAGCTTATACAGCCACATACATAAAACACAAACATAGAATAGTCACATTATTGAACATACACACACAAAATTACTTTTCTGGAGTAAGCAACAACATACTGCTGCTACAAGTAAGTAATTATATTTGCAACAGTTCCACCAGCTGTGCACCGTGTTTTTCACAATTGCTCCAATTTAGAGCATGGCTGCAATATTATCTTTATTTAGAAGGTATCAGAATATACAATGAGTAAAAACCCCATTACAAGTAATTGTCACAAAAAAGTTGGAATGAGAGTCCTTTCACAAGTAAAACATCTACATGATCTAGTAGAGTATTGGGTACCAGTAAAGCAAATTTTTGTAAAATTGTTTGAAAATAACTTGACAAAAACCAGAAAGCCAGCAACCATAGCCTTCTGGCACCATAACCACTGGGATAGGTTGTAATGGTTATGTTGCTTAGAGTTCCATTTTTAAGGTTAGTGTAGGCACCAAAAGCTCCACAGTCTACTGTGGTGATTATGGTGTCTGCAGCCCCATGGCTTTGTCTGACTAAAAGTGGCCAAACTATTTTTAAATGGCTTGACACTTACTCTGGCTCCCAGGACACTTCTTTGCTGGTCTTCTTCTGAAAACACTAATGTGGAGGTTTTCGCTTCTGCAGTAGTAATATCAATTCATCCCCGTTTGGCAAAAAATTTACTTAATTGACATACATGTAATTAAGGGAACTTTCACTTTAGGGATCCACTTTAGGGATTATAGAAAAGGATATCAGTCTGAAGGTAAGTGTCAAACCTTTCGAATGGTTTAACTAATTATTGTGGGACGGCACCAGGGCAATCCTGGCACCAGCTCATTGTCGTGATTTGTGTGCTTAGACTGACCCTTTAATCCTTTCAGAAAAAAAAAACATGTTTAATTTTTAAAACTGCTTGAGAGATTTCAAATACACAGCAGCAGTATCATCACGGTGAAAAAAAATATACTTGCATAAAAGAAACAGAAAGTAGTTATTGTTGTATAGTGGAATGGATGTAGAGTTGTAGACAGTACATAGGAGAATTAAAATGACAGTGAGCTGGGATATTTTTTGAGTGCACAGACTCATAAATGACGCATTGCTTAGCGAGCTGATAATATAAGAAATCTAGAGATTTCATTACTATGAAAGCTATAATGAAAGTTCAGAATTACAATGGGCTTTTGAGAAACAGTGATGTAAGAGACTCACATGTTTATCTGAAGGGCACCCAGAGATGCTCTGATCATGGATGATCTGGTATCACAGATCAAAAATGGTCACAGTCAGTAGCAGTTCCCCAGTAAACAGAAGAGTTGTCAGATGAAATACAGTTTTGAGCTTTTAATTATACAATCTAACATTGTGAAAGTGTATAACATCATCCATTGAAGAGCATGATGATAAAACAAACTAAAACTAAAACCCTGACATGGCTACCTAAATCTCCCAGAAAAAAAACAAGAATAGTAAAAGGCTCAAACAGCTAGGTAGTCCTTGGGATGTTTCTATGATCATATACATTTGTACAGTATTGTGTGAAATTTCAGGTTAAACCCCATTTCAAGAGTGTCGCTATCTCTGCATAGGTGATAGGTGACAAGTTGACTGCAGATCTATCCACACCACAAATTATGTCCCAGTGGTATGATAACCACTTCTGACCAAAACACAACCAAAAAAAAAACAACCTAGAATTTGACTATATGTCTGTTCAATCATTATTCACCTATTTATATATTAAATGCACCCACACTCATTGTATATTGTTTTGCTCAGGAGAAATAGGGATTTAATTTGAAATCAAATATTTATAAATGGAGCACAATTTACTATAAAAAAAATCTTTTAAAAAGTGTGAGAAATCAAGACATTTTGTTATTTTCCAAGTTCTGCATGGCTTTTTAACTGGTAGCTTTTACTGCAATAATACACATATTTGCATTCTGTGATGTCCTACGAGTACAAGCATGCCCCCATGTTCAGTTTTCTAGGTGTTTTGGGAAGTTACAAGGTCAAATGAAGAGCTTGCTGATTGGCTTGCTTGGTCTATGTTACCTTTGAGACCGTATGGCAGCCCAGGAATGAAAATTAACTCATTATGGCATACCATTTGTAAACAACACAGGGACAACACAGGGTATTCAAAATGGGTTATGTCCAGTCTTTTTATAAGCCACTTAGTCACAAACTCTGGCAAAAATTTGTGTTTATATTTGCTTTTTTTATTCTCCCTTACATGGTACATGTTACATGGTAAAATATAGACCTTATCAGTTTGTCAGATTGGTTTGCTTGGCCTATGTTGCCTTTAAATCCGTAAGGCAGCCCTAGAATTAAAGTTACCCCCATTATGGTGACAACTAAAGCATAAGATAGAATGGGAGTGACAAGGGAGGCCCTCCCTATGCAACAATGCGAGGTGGCTACCTATAAATTGGGCCAGGGGACGTATACCTCCGAGTATGAGGATGGGTGTTGGCCTCGCGGGACCACTAACGTATGGATTAAGACCAGAAAACAGAAACCTAGTTGGTTAACCAACATCTCAAAAGCCAGTAGTATCCTAAATAGAAGGAACGGGGTCATGAAACATGCCTGATAAAGTTTGATTCAGGACGAGATTATAAGCAGAAAAATAGGAGCGAGAGGGAGTAAGTAGATACGTGCTGCAACCCAGTAAAACGATAATTGGAGTATCTGTGTGTACCGATTATGTGGGTGACCCAGATCGTGGACCCGAACAGTAAATGGAAAACCCTCCAGAACCTATAGCTGAGCAATGAAAATATGACAGAGGTAGGTGACGGAATTGCAGTGCATTGACAGCAACCGACCTGCATGACCAAGGCACCTAAAGAAAGCGAGATGTCCATGCCCATTAAATAACATTCAATGAGTACAACCTAAAACCACATCAACAACCCAATAAGTCCAAGGATTTGAGCAATGATGTCAAAAACAGAAGCATAACATCCTGCAATGAACACGTGGGAACATCATAACAAATGTCAGCTAACAGATAAAGTAACGAACCAGCTGACGGACCGAGGCCTCCTATGGAGTGAGGTGGTGAGAGGACTAAGCACGAAGGGCGGGTAGGTAACCCCCCCACAGATTAACTCGGTATCTCCCTGGTAACTCCTAGCATCCGGGTAGTGCATCGCGGCTGTGAGATAGTGTCAGTAGCGTGAGATTTAAAATATGTCTGTGAGTGTGCAGGCAGTATGTCTTGAGCAAGTATTGGCTGTGGAAGCGGACAGAGGAGAAATGATACATAGCTAGATGCGGTGATATAGGTATAGCTCGAAAAGAGAGGGGACATATGACCCCCCGCACCCCACCGGGCTCCCTTCTCTCTACTTAAACTTCCATCGACGGTTTCCCAGTCGTCCACTGCCCCCTTCTGCCTTAAAACCCAATTATGTGCACATAACATAAATAAATTATTGGTACCATATCTATATTAGTCCTCACAGGGTTAGTATGAATCATTCTATGTGGCCTCGTGTGGCTGAGAGTGATGAGATTGGCAATTCTTATTTATGAGTAACCCTACCGTGCCGAACATGGCATGCCCCTGGTGAGGTGCCGGCGAAGCCGATATGTGGCAACCCTCTGTACCCCTGGTGAGTCTGTTGAGGGGGGAGTTCAGATATTCAGAGAGCTATGTGGATTATGCTTTGGCCATGGTGCCGGAGACCCCTTCTGGTTTGCGGGTTCCATAGTGCTGATACCGACGATGTACCACTGTACCGGTCTGTACTCACTGTTTTGCGCGGGAAAGCCAGTTATTCTGCAGCAGCTAGGTGATCTGCAGACAGCCCGGGTTGCGACCGGTGGTGATCTGGAGGAGCCTAAATTCTGTGATCTTGTGCTCGGTTAGCCGGCAGAGAGTCGAGCACTGCGGTGAGTGCGGGGGCACTTGGGTTAGTTTGTCAGTGAGTGAGTGCAGGGCTGAGGGGGCACTTGGGTAAGTTGTCAGGGGAGCAAGGCCCCCCGGCGGGGAAACTCCGTGATCCCCCGTGCCGATGCCCCTGTACAGCAGCCGTGGACCTCAGCGGGTTAGGCTGTGTGTGGTCTGCAGGCCGGTACAATGATACCGGCCTGCCTACTCACCTTCTGCCGAAAAAAACACAGCAAAAGGAGGAACGCTAGCTGTCAGGAGGTGCTGCTGTGCTGCAACCACTCTGGAACAGCTGCAACCACTCAGGGAACCGGAAGTCCAGTCAGAAGTGATTCGCCAGACTGACCACGGTAAGATGGGAGAGGATTGGCAGCCCTTTTAAGGGAATTCAAGCCCCTCCCACAACTACAGGCCAAGGCCTTACATACATATATATATATATATATATATATATATATATATATATATATATATATATATATATATATATATATACACACACACACACATAATTACATATATTAATATATAAATACACAAAGAATGAAATATATATAATATATAATAAAAAAAAAAAGAAAAAAACCTTGCACTCCTACTCATATTGTAAATGACCCGGTGCTCAATTGCACTTCCAGGATTTGTTGAAAGAGAACTTTTCTTTTACTCCAATCATCAACATTTCAGTTCCGCTTGGGAACTTTCATCAGGACAGCAAGCAACAAACAAGTGATACAAAACTGTGCTTAAATAGGAACAACAATCAAAACAAACTTACAGATCAGCTGTATACAGGGGCCAGCCATCCCGACTTCCGGACGTACGGGCAGACACCACCAGAAATCAACATCTCATTAATCACACTTGCTATCTACGTACGTGGGCTGGTTGCCATAGTGATTATGGCGCTAAACGCCTAACCTTCACTTTCCGGCTCGCTGCCCAAGCGCCAGCGTTCCTCGTAACCAAGGAGATTCCAGCGCATGCGTATTGAACACGTGGCTCTGGTCTAGTGTCTGCTCCCTGAACGGGAACAGAATGTTGCCGGTTATCCCTGCTAGATACATAACTAGCAAAAATCAATGAACAAAATAAAAACATTGTTGTATTTTGCTCCCTCTAATCATATCGCTTTGCTATGATAAATCCTCAAAGCCTAAAGCTAATATCAGCTTAATGAAGTGGTCTGGGTGCCTGGTCCAGCTAGGGTTAACCCTTTTTTTTAATGAACATAGCAGTTTCATAGAAACCGCTATGTTTATAAATAGGTTAATCCAGCCTCTAAAGCCTCTAGTGGCTGTCTCATTGACAGCCGCTAGAGGCGTTTGCGTGCTTCTCACTGTGAAAATCACAGTGAGAAGACGCCAGCGTCCATAGGAAAGCATTGAGAATGCTTTCCTATGGACTGGCTGAATGCGCGCGCAGCTTCTGCCGCGCATGTGCATTCAGCCGAAGAGGAGGAGAAGAGGGAGGAGAGGAGGAGGAGAGCTCCACGCCCGGTGCTGGAGAAAGAGGTAAGTTTAAACCCTTCCTCTCCCCAGAGCCCGACGGGAGGGGGTCCCTGAGGGTGGGGGCACCCTCAGGGCACTATAGTGCCAGGAAAACAAGTGTGTTTTCCTGGCACTATAGTGGTCCTTTAATGGAGATACTGACAAAACCTGGACTGTTGCTAGGTCTGAAGACCTACAGATTTTTGATGAATTACCAACGAACAAAATTTGGACTATTCTCAATTCCTCCAAAACTGAATGCACAAGTCTAGAAAGCACTATGCAGGAAGATACCTTGTTCCGATCAACATTGTGAGTGATAGTTGAAGGGAATTAGTGGAAGTGGAAGCCCACTAAGGTTCAATCTTCTACAATTTGGGGCCTATACAAAACAATCCCTACTTTTTACCTGCTTAACTACTTGACTTAGTAGCAATAAGTATACAATAATAACGTGAACCAAAAGACATATGTATTACAGGCATCTGAGTTTTTCAGGGTAAGTAAAACAGCCATCCAAATATGTATTAAAAATGGTGCAAATTTCAAACTTGGCCACATGGACATTTTGATTAAAAGCAAAACCAAATGCGAAAAAGAAAGTTTGACTTCTGTAGATGCATGTGTACATCATGCAGAAAAATTATCAGCATTGGCAAAGTAGTTGTAAACACTGATTTTACTACATAACATTTCAATGGTTCTTGTTTCAACTACACCCATATTTAACTAGCAAGCACTGATTTTCATGAAACCGTGAGTACTAGAATAACTAGCATGCTAAAATAACAGTGCACACAGGGCCCGGATTTGCCCTAAGGCCACCAAGGACATGGCCTCAGTGTGGCATGGGTGGTGGGGAGATCAAACACCATCCTCACCTGCCAGCTGATTCTCCAAACTGACATAGAGATCTTATGCAGGGCCAGCACTCAAGTACAGAGGAGATTTTCTTGTATGAGAGCATGTCAGTGGGTTACTGTGCCAACACTCAGATAAAATCTCTTGGCGCTGGCCGGAAGGATCTGTCTGTACCCACCTGCCCACCGGTTCAACGTAAGCATCAGGGAGAGAGGAATACAGTGTAGGTGATTTTTTTTTTTTTTTTAGCCAAACATTTTTGTAAGCAAGCCCTGTTCCCCACTCTACAATGCCAGTCCTCCCACTACAGGCCTCTGTCCTCCCACTATAGCCACTATCCCCCTCCGACTACAGCTCCCATTTCCTCACTACAGACCCAATCCAGCCACCATTATAGCCCCATGATAGCCCCAGAAAACATATAAATTACAAATTCATATTCTGTTGGAATTGTGGGTTTAAAATATTTATTGTGCAGATTATGTCATTAGCAACATGCATCGATTGAAGGAGTCATTATACCCATATTTATAGTCTGATTTCCACAGATAACTAGCAGACACAAAAGAGTTTGGTGTTTTGCAATAGGAAATGTGACAGAAAGTGTATTTAAACTTAAGTAACTGTATACATTTTGAACAGTATATCTAAACATTTGCAATCCCTTTGGTTAGAATTAAGAATAGGAGGACATTAATCCATAGCAGCTTTTTTAGATGTGGGGGGAGGGGGGCAAATACAGTATTTACATTGGTCTTTTGAGTTCACACCTTTTCACCCCATAAAAGGAAAGGTTAAAGGAACTTAACATGTATAGCTTGGAGGAAAGACGAGACAGGGGGGATATGATAGAAACATTTAAATACATAAAGGGAATCAACACAGTAAAGGAGGAGACTATATTTAAAAGAAGAAAAACTACCACAACAAGAGGACATAATCTTAAATTAGAGGGGCAAAGGTTTAAAAATAATATCAGAAACTATTACTTTATTGAGAGGGTAGTGGATGCATGGAATAGCCTTCCAGCTTTCATCCAATATTCCATAATTACATGCTATTTCACTGGAAAGTGCCATATGCAACATGCCACATTTTAATCATAGTTACATAGTTACATAGTTAAAAAGAGACATGCGTCTATCAAGTTCAGACCTTCTCAAATTTGTTTTTGCTGTTAATCCAAAAGAAGGCAAAACACCTAGTTTGACGTGCTATCAATTTTGCCACAAACTAGGAAAACATTTCCTTCTTGACCCCAGAATGGCAGTCAGATATCTCCCTGGATCAAGAAGCTATTACACACTAATTAAAAATTATATCCCTGAACATTATGTTTTTGCAAGTATTTATCCAATTGCTGTTTAAACATCTGTACAGACTGTGATACAATATAGTGTGCAATAATATATCCTATAATATAGTATGTCATAGACTAGTATCTCATTTCATATTTCCCTCCATTATGCCATATGTCAACCTATTATCAGGGCAAGCAGCTATGATGAGAAGGGTATGAAACCATACAATATGATGTCTGTTTCCCGAGCAACAAATTTAGCTTTCTTCTGTCTCATCCACAACCATGAGTAAAAAATGTTTGGCAGTCAAATTTTTGTTTTTTAATTAAGAGTAATTTTCAGAAGAAGCAGCTGCCCCACTCACCCTATGCTGCTGACACCCATGAACATTCCCTGACTTTCTTTTAATTTTAACTAACGTGCTGACTAAGACACTCCATGCATACTACCAAACATATGCAAAGCTGGACAAAAACTACCAACTACAACCAACTACAAGTACTATAACTGCTTGTTACAAATGCAGTATTATTATCATAGGTACTAAGTAAAAAAGTATGGTAGCTATTATATTTACATACATCGTTAAAATGTAATTTAATAGAGCAATTGTTTCAAAATCTTTTCATAAGAGCTCATCAAAGTTTAATTAATCATGAATTCCACTTAGTGGAAAGTGGGTAAATGAAAACAAGTAAATCCTGAATCATCTTATTTGCCAACCCAAACACTGTACCTGTGGAAGTTTCATGTCATTAATATCCCAGCTAATCCCTTTCCTTTGGGAAACAGTAACCTTTCGTTCCATAGTAGTATGATGGGGCAGCTGCAGTGTTGTGTGATACAGTAACAATCAATGGCTCTCTTTGTCGTCTTTACATGTGCTAGATCTGACCACTTCTAAGCAGCTGTGACAAGGAAGTTGCTTCTTAAACCTGCTGCGCCAAGTGACAACAACAAGAGAGTTTAAAGGCAAAATCGGTCTCGTTCTGCCTGAAAAACTTGTTTTAGAAATTGTTTTGCACAAGTAAAGATAACACCTGAAAAATAATGGCAAGACGTCAGCCAAACATTAACAAAAATACAAGAGATGTTTTAAGGATGACCGTCAGCATGCTGCAAAGCATGGTAAAGTTGTCAGGAGACAGACACTGAAGCCTTCAGAAATATGAAAAAAAAGATCTAAAACAGAAATCACTTCAAGTAAACTTTGGAACACAAAGAAAACAAGGGAAGTGTCTACCAGATGATGTACCATGAGATTCAGTCAAGGGAAAATGGCTGTGCGCATAGAGTACTATGGTGTGGATATGAAACCAGAGATGAACCACTATCTTCCATATTTCTCATCACATATTTTCATGGACTGAAATTGAGGACTCAATGTAAATGGCTGAACTAGATGGAAATTCATGTAATTAATATCGAAAAGTTTAATTATTTTGGGATTTCTGGAAACTTAGGGACCATCAACCCATTAATATTTAAAAGTAAAATGAGTTCTGGTAAAAAAAAAACAGTTGCATTTCAATGATTTGTGTAAATGTTTAATATTCAAGGCACAGGATATTGATAGGTTTAAATGTAGAAGGTGACTAATTCTGTTACAGAAAATGTTTGGACTCAACAGTGGCGGCTGAAAGGCACTCAGTTATATTAGATACAAAAGGGATGAATCAGTAAAGGAGATGCATTCTTGGGTAACAATAGCATATAAAATAGTAGAAGAGGTAAATGGAGAGAGAAAAAAAAAAAAACACACTACCAGTGGCAAGATACAAGCAACAATCACTCTAAAAAGTGGTCATAAGGTCACCATACTAAACCTCTCGAAAAATACATCAAACAACAATAAATTATTAGTTAAAAGAACTGCTCAAGTGGTCGGGAGCTGGTAGAATAGAAAAGGATTGAAGTTCAAATACACAAATTTTAGTAAAGTATTGGTAAAATGTCAATAAAAGATAAAAAACTAAAAAAGTAAGCAACATAAAATGATTACTTAAGAGACCAGAAACAAATAAAACTACATTTAGAAACATATGCATAAACTAATCTTGATGTAACAAGTTTAATTCAAATAAGTCCCAACGTCAAAGTCCTTGACAGGCGCATAGTCGCCATATGGGCAGGTGGAATTACCCCCCCCCCCCCGAAACTTACCCCCAAAACACACTGACACTAATGTATGGGTCAATATGTCCAAAGCTTTATTTATGTTGATAACAACAAATTAAAGTCATTGCCCAAACCCCATCCCGCCATATAACATCATATGTCCCTGAAACAAAAGGCAATGACCCATCATTTCCGTAAATATAGATAACATAAACAATAGTAATAACAAACATCATAAACATAATAGGGATGTGCATGGGAAAAATATTCAGTTCGGTTCGGCATTCCGAAATTCAGGACTTTGGCACTTTGGAACTTCGGCACGTCTGAACTTCGGAACTTCAGCACTTCAGAACTTTGGCACTTCGAAACTTTGGCACTTCGGGACTTGGGGTAAGTGTAGGGTTAGAGGTAGGGTTAGGGTGAGGGCAGGGTTAGGCGTAGGGTTAGGTTAGGGGTAGGGTTAGGGTTGGTTTAGGAGTAGGGTTAGGGGTAGGGTTAGGGGTAGGGGTAGGGTTAGAGGTAGGGTTAGAGGTAGGGTAGGGTTATGGGTAGTGTTAGGGTAGGGGTACGGTTAGGGTAAGGTTAAAGGTAGAGTTAGGGTAGGGTTAGGCATAGGGTTAGGTTAGGAGTAGGGTTAGTTTAGGGTTGGTTTAGGAGTAGGGTTAGGGGTAAGGTTAGGGCTAGGGTCAGGGGTAGGGTTAGAGGTAGGGTTAGGGTAAGTCTAATGGTTGGGTTAAGGTTAGCGGTAGGGTTAGAGGTAGGTTTAGAGGTAGGGTTAGAGGTAGGGCTAGTGGTAGGGTTAGGGTATGGTTAGGGGTAGGGTTAGTGGTAGGGTTGAGTTAGGAGCAGGGTTAGGGTTAGGAGTAGTGTTAGGGTAGGGTTAGGCGTAGGGTTAGGTTAGGGGTAGGGTTAGGGTTGGTTTAGGAGTAGGGTTAGGGTTGGGTTAGGGTTGGGTTAGGGTTAGAGGTAGGGTTAGGGGTAGGGTTAGGGTAGGGGTACGGTTAGGGTAAGGTTAAAGGTAGGGTTAGGGTAGGGTTAGGCGTAGGGTTAGGTTAGGAGTAGGGTTAGGGGTAGGGTTAGGGGTAGGGTTAGGGGTAGGGTCAGGGGAGGGTTAGAGGTAGGGTTAGGGTAAGTCTAATGGTTGGGTTAAGGTTAGAGGTAGGGTTAGAGGTAGGTTTAGAGGTAGGGCTAGTGGTAGGGTTAGGGTATGGTTAGGGGTAGGGTTAGTGGTAGGGTTGAGTTAGGAGCAGGGTTAGGGTTAGGAGTAGTGTTAGGGTAGGGGTAGGGGTAGGGGTAGGGTTAGAGGTAGGGTTAGGTTAGGGCTAGTGGTAGGATTGAGTTAGGAGCAGGGTCAGGGTTAGGAGTAGGGTTATGGTAGGGCTAGGGGTAAGGTTAGGGGTAAGGTAGAGTTCGGCACTTGGGAAATTCGGAAATTCTGCACTTCGGACATTCGAAAGCATCCGAATTTCCGAAATTCCTCCAAATTTGCATTTGGAACGAAACAAATTGCACATGTCTAAAACGTTATATAAGTGCCAAACTTTGTTAAATAACCAGGTTCTGAGCCACCACCGAGCTCGAAACCTACCAAAGTTCATAATGAACCATTTAACCAAACTCACCAGCAGCCTAACTGCCCTATTCTATTTACACTAACCCAGAGCCTGTTTGTCCCCTAACTTTTCTCTCTCTAGCCTCACCCTTTCAAATGGGAGGGTGGGAGGGACAACTTAGGCTAGGTAAGCATATTAAAAGTGCCTAATTCTAAAATGGGTTCCAATTTATACTCTGCCAACCCCCTAACACTCTAACTCCAATCCCAAGAGGGCCTTCCCCCTATGCCCGCCTCCTAGCTCTGTCAAACCCCTTTACATAGGGTTACATTTTTAGCAACAGAGATAGTGAAAAGCTGATACACTGCAGCAAAATGTGCCTAGTGCTACAAAATATAAATAAATTGTAGTCACAGTAAATACACACTGCTGCTCTATATAATAGTACTCAGTTAGTTAGTGACAACAATGCATAAACATCCAATATGCAAAATTTTGAAATTCACTTTTAACCACAGATTAGGTAGTGAAAATAGAGTTTCAGTTGGGTCCTTTTTCGATGCAGTACCCGAAAAGAAGAAAACAGGATACCATAGTGTTCTCTGTTAAAACACTAAACTTTATTAAATGAGGATTAAAACACACACATTTACCAGAAAGTGCAGTTAAGGGAGTGCAGTTCCTACGGTAACACTCAGGGCTGGACTGGGGATACAAAGCAGCCCCGGAAAAAAAAATCTATGCCAGCCCCATAAGTCATTGCGCATATATTGTCGCATGTTGTAAGGCTATGTCTTGCCATCCCAGATGATTGAGATATCTCTCTCTCTCTCAAATATATATTGCTTTTTCTAATATAAAATATTGGTCCTTTCATAGTAAAACGTTTAATTATACAGTAAGCATACTCACATGCAGGCACAGACAATCTCACTGACACACAAGCTCATTGATCCACAGCCTCATGGACAAACAAACAATCTCACTGATATACATAAGCTCATTGACATAAAAACACAAGTTCACTCAATAGCAGGCACACACACTCACACATGCAAGCAAGCTCACTCATTAGCAGGTGCACACACACACAGCTTAATGTAGTGGTTCTGGTGTTTATAGTCTGTCCCTGTAGGCTTTTTAATGTAAACACTGACTTTTCAGAGAAAAGGCAGTGTTTACATTGCTTCCTAGTGACACCTCTAGTGACAGACACTTAGATGGTCACTAGAGGTGCTTCCCGTGTCAGTGCTGCACAGTGGGCAGCACCTACATTCAGGGCCTCCACACTCTGGAGGCGCTGATTCAATGCATCTCTATGAGGAGATGCTGATTGGTGTAGCGTTTTGCAACCATTCCTATGGAAAAGCATTGGATTGGCTGGGATCATCAAGCATGTTGATCTCAGCCATAAGGGCAGGGCCAGTGGAGGGGAATCCAGCCCGGCGTGGAAAAAAAAAAGGTGAATAAAAAGACTATTTTTAAACACACAAACACACACATACACAATGACAGACACAGACACATACATATACCATGACAGACAAACACACACAACCCATGACACACACATATACCAAAACAGACACCTACCAGGAGACACACACACCATGACAGACACACACACATCTTGACAGACACACACACCATGACAGACAGACACAGATTACATGACACAAACCATGAAACAGACACACACACACAGACACACCATGACACAGACAGACACACACACCATGACAGACAGACACACACACACACACCATGACAGACAGACACCCTCCATGACAGACACACACACCATGACACAGACAGACAGACAGACACACACACATACACTCACACTGACAGACTGACACACATTATTGCTACCGGTGGGCGACCGGCCAGGGGGTCGTGCAGGGCAGACAGCTAGCTGTGCTGGCGGCCGCAGGGGGAGCTGTGCTGGTGGCCGCAAGGGGGAGCTGTGCTGGTGGCCGCAAGGGGGAGCTGTGCTGGTGGCCGCAAGGGGGAGCTGTGCTGGTGGCCGCAAGGGGGAGCTGTGCTAGCATCCGCATGGGGTGCTGTGCTGTCTCTGCTCCCCCGTCCTCGTGTGCAACTTAATGAGACCGGGGGCGGAAAATGGCATCATATTCCGGTCCCGGTCTCATTAAGCTGCGCACCGGGGAGCAGAACAGAAACAGCACAGCTCCCCCTGCGGCCGCCAGCACAGCCAGCTGATGCCCGGCCCCAGGTCCCTCCCCGGTCCGCAGGCACGGTGCTGACAGCCGGCTGGAGAGGAAGTGAGAGAGGACCCGGGA